CAGGTATATTGTTCAAAGTAAAGGTGAAATAGATAGGGATACCATTAGTAAAATTCAAGTTGGATAGTTGAAGTGGAATAATGTATCAGACTTGTTGTGTGATAGAAAAGTACCTCTCAAACCTAAGTAAAATGTTTATATATAAGTTAGTGGTGAAATGTTTATATATAAGTTAGTGGTAAGACCTAGAATGCTTTTATGATGTGGAATGTTGGCCATTAAAAAAGAAGTATAAAATTTAGTTAAGTGTTGCAGAGATGAGGATACGTAGGTGGATGAGTGTCTCTAAACTTAAAAGACAAAATACATAATGAGTGTATACATAAAAAGATTGGAGTATCTCATGTGGCATATAAGATTAGAGAGCTGCGTTCAATGGCCTAATCACACAAAGTGTCAGCCTTCCACCGAGTTAGGAGAGTTGGTGTATTAAATTTGGTCTATATTAAGAAAGGTAGAGCTTGACCTAAAAATACTTGGTCAAAATGCATTTTAAATGACATTTGTTATTAGACATAAATGAGAATTTATGTAACAGCCCTAATATTGAATAATATAAATTTCAAAAAAATTGCTCATTTGAGCGTATGACACTGTGCTTTGGGTGCAATAGCACTGAGAAGTGCTATATGCAAAATAAGCACCTTAACCTTCCGAATATACTCGACAAACAATCAATTCTTACAGCTCTGATAACAAATCAATTATTCCAACAACATTACTATGATACCAATTGCGACAGCCCAAACTCTTAACTATTAAGATATTGGCCGCTTTGGCTTAAGTGCCTCATGATTTTGTCATGTTGGCATAATTTCTCTGGAGCTCACTCATCCTAGGATTTCATCGCAAATAAGCATACTAATCCTGAAGAAATCATAGGATTGTATTTGAGCGATTTGCACAGGAATAATAGTTTTAACATTTTTCTACGATTCTACTATTAATGCAATTATTTATGATTGGATACATACATGTGAATGACTAATAGCTGTTTGTCATTACTTTTACAATAATATGATAATAATGCATGTAAAAACAAGTACAAGCTGGTTATTCACCAAAGTTGGTTGGAGATTATTTTATATTTGTACAAGATAGTGAGTGGATAAGTGTTTCTTTAAATACCATGGTTTGTGGTGTTGTTCTCAACTAATTCACTGATTTACTTATTGGTAGCCATAAAAAGTTAATTGGTAGTTATAAGAAGCTGTTAAATATTATGTTAGACCCCATTTACTTAAAGCTAGTTGCTACTGATTTATTGTTACTCAAAAAATAGTACTACATAAGCTGGATTTTCTAACTTGGTTAGTATGATTGCTTGGACATGATTTATTGTATTGTTACTGAGCACGTGATACTTATTATTGAACAAGTGATATAAATTATTGATTTGATACATAGACAAAATAACTAAACCTCATGTGTACACTTCTGTACTATTCTTGGATAACACTTATTGCATTGTTATAAATATTTTAAAGTTTTCATAGATATTTCCACTTTAATGATTTATATGGTTTATTTACTATTTGGATACACTGCTATGACATTTTGTTTGAGAATGATTGTTTACAGTTTTTTTTTGACATCCGTATTGTACTATTTTACAGGCGTTACTGCTTTAGTGTTACAACATATGTTTTACTATCTTTGAATAAATTCATGATTATATTGACTGCAATTATTATGAACTAAATAATTACATGCATATTGTTCCATTTTAATGCTTTGAGTTCAATTGTAGGATTTTAGTGATTTGTTGGGTTTTTTAAGCTAAGAGATGTATTTTCTCGGATGAAATGAAACATTTGATTCATGTACCAGGAGAAAGTGTTATCATCCAAAGAAATCTCATCAAAAATAGACGAGATATAAGCGGAATCCTTGTTCATTGCATACACTTTTCCTGGAGGGAATATATATATATATATATATATATATATATATATGAGGGAATATATATATATATATATATATATATATATATATATATATATATATATATATATGATTTAATTATTTCAGGTCAAGAAATAAGATCAAGAGTATGAGTTTGATCAGAAACATGATTCTTCAGGATTTACTATTGTTTTATCATTTAGTCTTTAGTTTTTCTTTTATAGTTAGTAGTGGATAAATGATATGTTGTAATTGTACGACTGTTGGCTTATATATATGATTTTTGAAGTACTAAATACAAATGCAAATTGATATTTTATTTAATAGATTTGTTTTCACCGATATTTTGTTTTTTGAAGAAATTAGACAGCTTTGATTGTTATTATAAAAATATAAAATATTATTAAAAGTAACAATTAGTGTAAAATCTGATTAATACCAATAAAGTAGGATAGCTTTCATATCTCTAAAAGTGACTAGATCTTTAATATCAATTAGTGTAAAATCTGATTAATACTCAATAAAGAACATAGTAACATAATGGAACTATACACAGCATGGTATGATTACTCAACCAAATCATTAAAGGGGAGAGGAAAAAGTAGAAAGAAAATGAAGTTATCTTCTAACATTAAAATACATAAAGACATTTTCTTTCATATGAATTTTTAATTTATCTTTGTGAAAGCAAGAAAGAAAAATATCGAACATGGTAGCGAGAAGATTGAGAATTTGATGTTTGGGATTTGGAGCGACATTATATATGGTGGCTTGTTGGCTGAGACTAAGAGCGACACTACTGATGACGATTGTAAGTTAAAGAAGAGGTGAGATGGACGAATGCAGGCAGGTGTGAGCAGTTGTTTCTTGCATACTGTTCAAAGACCAACAATCACCAGTGGGAGCAGGTCTTCTTCCTTCAAATAGAAGACATAACTGTGAAAAATTGGACAAAGTAGTGTTGAGGGAAGGAAAATACGTAAAAAGCCTTTAGTATTAATTAATATATCATAATTTTGAGAGTTGGCAATTGCACACCCTGAGTTTGCGGTGGATTTGATAAAGGAAGAAAATCACAGCGATATCATCGATATGTGAAGAGAAGAGGGGGTAAAATAGAGTTTGCTTTTGAAGTGTATTATGAAGTAACCTCATCGAAGAAAAAAAAAAGAAAAAAAGAATTAGGCTTCGTTTGGCTACCCGATGCCTTTTGTAAAAGATGGTTTTAAAAATTTTGTTTGAGAGAATGGATATTTATAACGGAGAAGCTAATGCTAAAAAGTTTCGAAAACAATAGAAAAATGAGTTCTGTAAAAAAACAATTTTATGAAAGTGTTACATGCAAACAATAACCAAAAAATAACTCTGTCATTTCGGAATAGAAAAGACAAAATTAATCCATCTCAAATGAGGCCTTAGTGATGAGTTAATGATTTTTCAAATAAATATTTTAATATTTTTTCAATCAATCAAATATTCAAAATTCAAAATCACTATATTTAAAATATAATACTCAAAATTTTCCAACCAAACCCTTTCATTATTAAGCATTAATTTATTGAGAAAGAGTTCACTCTATCGTGATTTTTGATATTTGGAGAAATTAGTTTCCCAATATAAAAAAATTAAAAAAATCTCAGCCCTATTTTCTAAGGTTTATCCTTCATCAATCAAAAACAAAAACAGCATCATTTATGAAATTAATCGTCTCAATAACCGTAATTGTCTAATTGAGATGAGGCGGGAGCGGGAGCGCCGGACTCCGGAGCATCGTGGCCAACTATTCCCTCCGGCATAGGAAATTTGGGCGGCGACTTCACTACAATAGAGGCAAGGCGACAACATTGAGGAAGCAACCGGCTAGTCGCCAAACCGAGATTTTCTGTTAGGTCGCGGTGAAGTCAAGAACCGCCATTGCGTTCTGAGGTGCGAGGATTTGTTGTGCTCTTGAAGAGAATAGTGGTGCGTTCATTCCACTGCAAGCTCAGAATCTGTTCAACAAAATACGGCAATGAAGGGCGTCCGTCTGCCGTGTTCATCCCTTCTTGGAGTTTCACTAACCGTTCGTCTGGCCAGAACCAGTGGCAGACTGCCTTTCACTTGCTGCGAAAGAAAGTTTTGCTCAACTATTCGGTGTTTGGAAAACGTAAGACCCCTCGTTCTCTATTGCGCTCGGTACTCAGCCTTCCGGCCAATGCAACCTAGGTGTCGTGCTGTCAGTTTTTTTGGTTAGGGATTTTAGTCGATAGGTAGAAATGCTTGGAAATTTGAGATTTTTTTTGTTTTGTTTTGGTTGCACTGATGGCCATGGCTATTTTCACATCCGTAAAATATTTATTGAATAATTTGTTTGTTTACTGAATATGAAGTGCACAATTATTCATCGTTATTGTAAGAGCACTGGCTGTGTTGTTTTGCCTATCTTGGACAACTCATGACACTGCGTTTTTTTTTCCTTAATTTGGAAATAAAATCTACAAGGGAGCTGTGTGGCGATTTGGCAAAATGCTACAGTTTTAGGCTGAGTTTGTCATATTAATATTGAAGAATGAACTTCGACCTTTACTATGTTATGTGAAGAAGACGCTTAGAGAATTTCCCTTACAAGTCTACACAAAGTTGAGATTATAACTAAGATGGCAATAGACTTGCAGGATTACCTTTTTGATGCCTTGATTCATCTACATGAATGCTGAAAATTTTGTGTTTTTTCTTTATCTTTGGGAAAGTTTGTTTTATAAAATGATTTTGAATATCCAATCATCACTTAAAAAGGTCCATCACGCCTTTTTGGTTGTTTATTTTTAAAAAATTTCAAATCATTGTGCATGCAAGTCAGAAGAACAAGACAATTTGAAACTATGTAAATGTGTAAGCTATTTAGATGAAGGATTTCACCTTCAAGTCTTGCTGATAACATTTGCTTGTGGATGGCCAAACTTAATATATTTGTAAGCAAGTTTATTGTTTTGTATGTAACTGTTTCTCGTCATTTATTAGTGTGTTACAATTCTATAAAGCTGTTTGGTATGATTTTCTATATTCTTGTAGGGAAGTAAACCTTTATTGTTGGTGGTGGGTGGCGGTGCAGCTGGAATCTATGCTTCAGTAAGGGCAAAGGAAGTAGCTCCTCATTTAAATGTGTTAGTCATTGAGAAGGGGAAGCCTTTATCTAAGGTTAGTTGCTTTTGTGAAATGCCTTTTCTTATACCAATAAATATCTTTTGAGCGTATCTGCCATGGTTGATGGCTTGACGCTATGAGATATTCTTTAAGCGAAAGAAATGTTTGTTTTTGGTATGTGCTATGCTTGTCAATTATGTCTTAATATTGTACCAAATTAGAATTGAGGTTGCACTCTCTATCATGAAAGCAGAGTTTGTTGCACTCTCTATCATGAAAGCAACATTTAGGGCTTTAATGTTTTCTTATAATTATACATTTGTTCTTCTGGACTTGTCTGGTTGTTTAAATATTTTTGCCTTTAAATTTTCCTAGAATGGGAGAAGTGTAATCTGATGCCCACCAAATATGATGTTTTGGTTAGTCCTCACCCCTTGTTTCAGATTGATGAAATGCTAATAAATATAGCCAAGGTCACCCAAATCTATGTGATTGTGTTTGAATGCCAATAAAATGTAGAGCAAGATTAAAATTAGAAGACAAATGGAACGCACAAATCCACCTATGGCTTATCTCACATGTATTAGATTGAGCAAAAGGTACCCTAGTATGGGTATGCAAGTTTTACATTTTGACCTTAGTCCATACTTAATACAAAGGAGGTTTGTATGCATCAAGTCTAAAGTACAAACAGTGGCATGAGCTTTACATTTTGCATTTAAAAATTATAAATTAAGTAGGTGGGTTAGCATGAGCAAAGAAGATTAAGTTTAGAAGGAAATCTTAAATCATAAAGGTCACTTAGTTATCATGCCAACCAAAAGTAGAGATTAACATCTGATTTCTTATGCACTACATTACATTAGGTACACTCATAAGAACATCCTAAGTTAATTGGTACTAAACATTGTCAAGGATTGTAAAGAAGTTTCAACACATAATTCACATGATAAAGTCATAGGTGATGTTCTTATTCAAGATTCAAACTTTTCAAAATCATATGAATAAATTTATCAAGAAAATTTCTTTAGATCATATAATTTTAACAATTCATTTAAGTACAAAAGTTATTTGATCCAAGAAGCTCTGCTAGTATTAAAGAAGTAGATGTTATAAAGTCTATTAAGTCGTTGTGATTGTCCATTGTCCTTTGATGTCTATGTTGACAAATAAAGCATAGAAATATACCAAAGTTAGAAAGTGGCAGAGTAGATTTTGTTGTTATCAATTTTGTTACTAGAAATAAAAATTGTCAAATGATAAGAATGAAATAGATATGGTGAAGGTGGAGTGCTAAGGAAGTTGAAGGTGTTAAAATTATAGTTGATATAACATTGACTAGTCTTAGTAGAAATAGTTGTTGAATAATGCGGAAAAGCTCAAAATAGTTCCTTGAATATCGATAAATGTCTAATTTAGTGCCAGAGTTTCACATTGCTCCAATTCAATCTCTCCACTATTAAAAGTTTAGCCAATTTTATCCCAAAGCCGAAAATAAGAGTTAAAGTTAACTTTAAAGTTAAATATGAAGGATATTTTAGGTATTACAAGTGAATATAAGATTACATTGATTATATTGCTCAAATTTACCATTTAATAAATTATAATATATATTTAATCTACTACATAATAAGGGTGAATAAATAGTGAAAAAAATTTCAATTTCATATAATTTAAATATAATAAAAATTATCACAACTCAATTTCATATAAGTTAGTTCATTAACAAATCAAATTTAATATGTGTTTTAATTTTAATTTATATTAACAAATCCCAATAGTCGGGGGATTATTTCAAGCTTTTACTCTTGAATAACCAAAAAGTTTTCAATCACTGTAGGATTACGTAAATATCTACATTAAGTCTATATATTTTTTAGGCTATCCATGGAGATGCTTATAAAGGATGTTCAAATTGAGTTGCATTGGGCATATTTAATGTATATGACATGATTCTAATTGGAATAAGTTGAAAATGGGAACTATAAAGAAAGTGTTTAGCATTGTATTTCTGTCGTTAAGGCGGATAACTGAATCAAGAATTCTCTTTCTTCATCATCAATCGAATCACTGTTCGCGACCCAGAATTCTATCTTCTCATCAATCCAATCACCGTTCACGTTTTTTTCTTTTTCTTATCAATGAATAGATCTCTTTACTTGTATGACTTAGATGTCTCGTATTTCTCGAAAAAATGTTTCGATTGATGGGATTTGGTATGATACTTACAAGATCGATGAGATTGATCTTCCAATATTTATTCTTAGAACGTATTGATTTGACCCCATAAGCGGGACCACCACTCAATAGCATGTCGCCATTAGAAGCAGATCCCCGTATTTCTTCCAGATAATCTCCTAATTGTTCCAGAACAACTAGAAAGAGATTCTTTAACCAGAAAGGATCCAATTCAGATGTAGGATACCTATCCAGAAGTTTTCGAAAAATAATGATTGAGTTTTTTTATAAGTTTTATCAGTGTAGTATTAATATTTATTATTAATATTACTAATGTGATTCCTATGTATTATAGGGAATTGTGAGTATAGATGAGGAGATAATTTTCCCAATCAAGATTTTTGGTATTATGCGATAAGTGAATATCATGGTTAAGCCATGTATATGGGAGGAACTTTTCAGAAGGGCTTTCAGTTCTTTGCAACCAGCTTGGTGTGGCCCAAGGAGATATTGCTCTAATTTTTCTTGTGTGCGCGTGTCCAGGGCTAGTACTTGTGTTCAAACACAAGGTGGTTTGACCAAGTATTTTCCTATTTCCATTGGATTACATCAAGGATCAGCCTTAATTCCATATCTTTTTGCTTTAGTCATGGATGTTCTCACTAGACATTTGCAAGAGGATGTAACTTGGTGTATGCTTTTTATTGATGACATTCTTCTTGCTGATAAGACTGGAGAGGGAGTTGAAGGTAAACTTGAATTATGGAGGTCAATCTTAGAGTCTAAAGGTTTTCGCTTGAGTAGATCTAAAATTGAATATATTGAGTGTAATTTTAGTAGCAATAGACGTAGTGAGGGGATTGTGACTTTGGGTGATCAAGTCATTAATAAGAGTACACGTTTTAGATATCTTGGATCTATTGTTCAGAGTGATGGTGAAATAGATGGGGATATTATTAGTAGAATTCAAGTTGGATGGTTGAAGTGGATGAATGCATCGGTGATCGGGCTTGTTGTGCGATACAAGTCCCCCTCAAACTTAAGGGAAAATTCTATAAGATGGTGGTGAGACCTGCAATGTTTTATGGTGTCGAATGTTGACCATTAAAAGAGAAGCATAATACTAAGTTAAGTGTTGCCGAGATGAAGATGCTTTTGGTGGATGAGTGGCTTTACCCTTAGAGATAGGATACAAAATGAGCATATACGTCATAAGGTTGGAGTAGCTCCAGCGGAAGATAAAATTAGAGGGAGTCGCCTTAGATGGGTTGGTCACATTAAAAAGAGGCATTCCGATGACTCGATTAGAAAAGTTGAGGTATTATATTTGACTTATGTTAAAAAAGGTAGAGGTAGACATAAACCTAACACAGCTTTGGTCGTTACATGCCCTGTCTGCACAATGACATATTGATCATATCCATTATTATTTAAGGCGGGAAGATACTAACTCACCTTTAGCCAATACATCTCCTATTAGCACAACTGGAGGTCATACTTATACTAGTATTTGAGGTGTAAGGTAAAAATCATCAATACACAGGTACGTTAATGTCCCTAACTTGACCATAAGAGGGTGATTCTATCTTTCAACATGCACATTTAATCATTCATATATATATCATTTCATTTGCCTTCTTTTTAGCATACAATATCAATCTATAAGTAACTATTGTTTAATACAATATACATAGTTGTATCATAGTGGAGACTTGTACTTCATATATGTCAACGTGAAAAATCATTTTTGCATTGAGATAGATGAATTACTGTAAATTATTTTAAGTTATGATCTTGATAACAATATATTATTTAATGTATATAGATGAACAATAATCTTAACTGTATCAATTAAATGCAACATGTATGGATGAAAGAAAATATGTTTAGAAGAAAAGGAAACATTTGAATACTCTAATTAAGAAATGTAACCACCTTCCTTAATATGTGTAAGTACTATTCATCAACCTTATCCTCATCTTCTTGAGTTTCAATCTGTATAAATAATCTCAATTCCAAGTATTCTTTTATCCTATATATATTTTAATATTCCCTTTATTACTTCATATCTTATTTACTATTAACCTTACATCTATGCATATGCAATTATTTACAACCTATTTGATTCTTTTCTTCTATTGTAATACTAAAATTATTTTCTATACAAATAAATCATTATCTTGAATTGCTTCCATTGCTTTGATTATTTTTATAAATAATAATAAGTAAATAGTCTTTTTTAAGAAAGGTAAACTTTCTTTATTCAAGTTGTCATTAACATAGAATTTTTTTATATATAATTATTTCACGAGAATTTTTTATATATACAAATTATACCTATCCTTCACAAGAGCCATAACCTTTTGCTAATTTTAGATCTCATAATTATAAAACTTAATATTATTAATAATAACCCATTAATTATATCTTTAATTATTTAAAACCTAAACAACTAGTTATGAATCATTTAATAAGGCAATATATGATTTGAATAATTACTAACTATATACTTATTTTATAAGATGCTTTCACTCATTAATTTTATATCCTAACTCAATCTTACATTATGATTCTATTAAGTAACACCATTTTAATTTTTTAACAAGTAAATACTAATCCAAACCTCACAAAATGGAATCCCTAATAGATCCTTGTGAGTTAACATACATTGATCCAAGTGAAGGAATGCCTAAAGGTGAATGCCAACTTCTAGTCATTTCATATCAATCATAAGTTAGGGAAACTTAGGGTTGGGGTTTACCTCATCAAGAGCGAAGAAGAAGAAACTTCATCCTTTCGGTTCCAAGCCCTAGCAACGAGGACCAAGCTCTCTGCTATGGCTCATGCTCAGAGTATTTGTGCACGCAATTCATCCATCTTCGGCAACTTGCTTGCTTGGCCTCACACTTTATGTCTCGCTCCCCTTCTGTCGATGATGCTCTCCCTCTCTGTTTCTTAGTCTCTCCGTGCTCCGCTTGTCTTGCTCGCGCTTTTTCTATCTTGCTCAGTCTCTCATTCCTCTCATGCTCACTTCTCTCTATCTACCTCTTTAGACATGGGGTCGGCTATTGCCAATTCAGATGAACCAACAATGGCTGGTTCATATTTTTTCTTAAAATAAAAAGGGCTTTACATAGGGAGTATTGGCTGACAACGACAAACCAGTAACAATGAGAAGGGAGGTAATGTTGAATGGTGGCGGCATGAATTTGTGCAGAGAGGAACAACATTTTTGATTGCATTGCCACTGGCTGAGGCGGTGGAATTCTAAGTGAAGGCAACAGTTGAAGCTGTTAAGGAGGTGACTATGTAACAAATTAATGTTAAGTTTGGTGAAAATGACTGACATAGACATGCGATAATGGCATCATTAAGTGTTTTTTCTTTCTCTTGTTATGAAAGTCCTCTAACGGTTGTGGCAAACAATCAGAGCCAATGAATTAAGATTTGTTTGAAGCAAAACTTTATTTTATGCACCATGGCTAGAAGAGTAGAAAGTAATGGTTATATCTTGAAGTCACTCCAGGTGAAGATGGCAAACGGAGAAGATTATATGAATGAAAATTAAAGAAGGTAATGTATTGAATCAGCCCATGTGTTCCCTAGTTCCTTCAAGCGTCACATTTGTCAGAAGAGGGCTTTACATCCGTGGAGAAAATTTTCATTTTACTTATCATTCTCTCATTGGTACTTCTATGATGCCCTAGGATTTTAGGAAATAATTGTACTTAATCCTAATTGTCTCATCTTCAATTTATAACATATCAGAACCAACTAAATATCTAAAATGCCAGGGAAAAATAGAAACATCCGTTCACATTTCAATCTAAAAAAATCATATATAATAATTCAGTGCAGATCTTCTATTCATTGAAACATAAACGACTGGATTATCAAAAATACATTTATATTGAACTTTCCCCAGTTAGATTTTGACCTTATCGATCTCTAATCTATGCTGCCTATGCTTTACTTTTTCCTGAAATAGCGCATGAATATATTGATAAGCAACTAATTGCTTACTAGGCATTCCAGAACCTTACTAAAATTCAATATTCTTTATTTAAAATAAATAACATAAGTGCGAATAATAAGTTTTACAATATAATTAAGGCAACATAATAGTTATACAGGATTCCATTTATAATAAGGTTCGATTGCATCTTTGATTATTAACAAAGATAACATGTCAATATATCATATTCTTTAACTTATGAGTAGGAACACATGAACTTATAAGTGGTATTGACTTGATTTGCCATCGAACTTGCGTGTATTAGTTACATAAACTATCATTCAACTCATACTTTACTTTAATGGAACTTACATGTATCAATATTATGAACTTTCATTCAACTTGTACTTGACTTTAGGATGGAACACTGACTTGTGTGCAATTTATTCAAAACATGATTTATACACATTTCTTCATGTCTGCTTATAACTCCACTTTAATTAATAAATTCACTTGATCATTCTCACATATGTTCAAGTTAGATGGAGACTTGCTCTATTCTCTTTATATAGCTCCACATCTTCTTATATCTCCACTTGATTATCTTGCATTTGTTCAATACAAAGGAATGCATGAACATAAACATGTAATGGGGCCTTGTAACTTGACTTGTAATTGAACATCTCCCACATTCATGACATTTGTTATATGAACATGCATTACATCATATGTTGATGTGAAACAAATCCGGAGTTACTTAGGAAATTAAAGATAGCAAATTAACAAAGTGTTTCCACAATAAATTTATTACTTATAACAATGATTGACCCTTAGAATTCTTAGTTTTTAACTTGCTTAGGCAAAGAAGAGCGAAGTCGGTTAACCAAACAATTTAAGTAAATGCAAAGATCAATTGTAAAACTACGACAATAAACAAGAATCCGCGATTTAATAATGAGAACTTTCACCTTTGGAGCCCATACGCTCAACTAGTCTAGACTTTAGCGGAAGAAGAGTCTCCACATTAGAACCGAGGTCACTCCGAGGAAGAAGGAGCCTAAGATCGTCGTTCTTGGATAGGGGGCCGGAGTGGTGGAGGATGGCGGTCGTTCAAGGATGATCCAACGTCCCTTTGATCTTTGCTCGTCGATCACATCCACTAAGGTGTAATGGATACGATCGATGTAGTCTTCAATGATGTCGTCGAAATCAAAGCCCACATCAAAGAACGGTGATTGGAAGATGTCAACTTGATCTCGCTCGTCATGTACGAATCCAAAATTCCATTCGGGTTCCGCCATGCATCCTTGTCGGGCGGGAAGATGCACAAAAGAAGTGGGAAAAGAGAGGAAGAAGATGGCGGGTTGGTGGAGGAAGGTGGGATTGGCTTGGGCCCTTGAGAAGTTTGAGTGGAGAAAGGCTCCAAAGGAAAATAAAACTGAAAAATTTGAAGTAATTTCAGTTTTGGTAGTGGTGGGAGGGAATAAATTTGAGGAATTCAAGGGGCCGGCGGATGGGGGGTCCTGCGGCGGCCGGCGGGTGGCTGGGTGGGTGACTAGCCGGCGGGTAGAGCTATGCAGGCTGGCGGCCTGGATGGCTCCAAGGGGTCGGCGGCACTAGGGTGAGGGGAGGGGGAAGAAGTGAAAATCTGAGATTTTCGTTGCTTTGATTCCACTCACCTCGTATCTCTTCAATACTCTACCTCCACACAATAATTTTTGGACTAAATCTAGAACTCACGAAGAGATCTAGTTTTCCCGTTGAACTCACTAAGAGATCAAAGGGAAGTGCACTCACAAAGAGAACAAAGGAAAATATTTTTCATTCATAAAAAAACTGAAATTACAATGCATGAGGCCTCATATAAATAGGCCAAAATGAAATAACAAGAAATGACACAAGTGCCCTTCCAGGCTACATAAGCGACTCAATGCCCATAAGGGCAAAAGCGGAAAAACATCAAAATAAAATAAACTACTACATAAAATGACAAAATACAACTCATGCTCGTGGCCGTCGATCTCCGGCGTCTCATAAAGGTACATGTGTCGAAAATGCTGACGATGTCCTCATCATATGTACATGAAATTATGAAAATATTGACATATTTAATATTTATAAATGACATTTTACATAATGTATGAATCCATTAAAGTTACATATGTATGATAATTTTAGTAATATATGTGGGGTAGAGCTTGTACACATATTCAGTAAGTAACATTTCAAAAAATCATTCACATAGAACATTTATAACATCATTTTGATGCATTTATTGTTCTGTAGCATTTTCTATTAAAATTAGCAAAAGTAGTAAAACACATAAAAATTCATATATTTAAAATAAATAGGTGAAAATTTTGAGTTTTACTTGTTACTTGCCATTCCTCTAGAAAACTTGACTACATACTCATTTGGACTTGGTTAAATGTAGGTTAACTTAAAATTTCTTAAATATTTAACATATACAAGGGCAAGCACAAAATTCTTACTGGTTTTGATTCAGGTCATTTTAGGTGGACTCATTTCTATAGTAGTAGTTATTACAATTTATAAACCTATTATAAATCTGTAAGTCATGAAAACGCTGAGCATATAAATATATATTATTTATTAAAATTGAGTATAATTTAGTTTTGTGTAGATTGCTTGAATATTATTTTGCAAAATGCATATTGATTAGGTAGACCTTTACCACTAAGGCAATCCTGGTAGCATTTTCTTGTGATTTTCAGTTCAGATAGCATAGTTCTTTACCTGGCAATTCAAAATCACATGGGAACGTAAATTTGATTTGACACTTCTCATTTACATTGTCTTTGTTGAAAATGTAATTGACAAGATTCTTCTTATTAATGTACTATTTAACTACTAATTTCAATTCTTTTTCAGAATCTCTTGATTGACTGCTTAATTCATTAACATTTTATGATCTTAAGGTGAGGATTTCTGGCGGGGGTAGGTGCAATGTAACAAATGGAAATTTCCTTGAAAATAAGGTGAGACATTTGTAATTTCTAGACACGTTCAAATCATATAGAAGATTCCATCTTCCTTTTGCAGGATGATTTCAGAATTCATAGTTGCAAAACCCCTCTTATATTGTATCGTGATATTTCTTTTTGTTTGCCGAAGCTCTAAATGGAATCAATACAAAAAAAAAAGTTCTTTTTCTTAAAAGATTTTAAAATAACTTGAGTATGTTTTCCAATTTAAGTGTGATGCTAATGACTTTTTTTTTTTAAAAGAGAAAACATCTTTTTTTTAATATTTATGGCTTTGCCATTTCTTCTTAGTACTTAAAAAAACCGTGTTATGATATTCATTCAAGTTACTACCACCTAATTTTTGATGAGTTTCTTGAAGTTATTCAATGCAGCTTTTGTCCCCTTTTTCATTTGAAGCTTTTGGCATTCAACGAAGATATTATCTGTATATTTTTTTAATGTAAATATTTTAAGTTTTTCTTAAAATTCTCTACTAGAAGTTGTTTGAAATATGATTATTGATGTTGGAATCCTTATTTTCTATTTGTCCTTGCCAAGCATTGTATGAGTTGTTATACTTATATTGTATAAATTTTTTTTCACAACTATGACGATCTTTGATCCATCCCTTGTTCTTACTCATCCTTTGACAGTAAGTTTTTTGTACCTATTTTATTTATGTATATTTTGCCCTTTGTTGTACATGCTTAAACCAATTAAATTTATCTTTCACAATCTTAATTTTAATAGATGATACTCACGGCATCTTTCTAAGATAGCATTTTATTTATTTATTTTTTCTAATTTTGCTATACACCAACCATAATATTATCATTTTGCACCCTTAAATCGCCTTCACTGACTTCTTTACTATCAAACACATAGATCTGGACAATATAGTTTTCTTAGGGTCCGTTTGTGACAGTTGCAACTACTTATAAAGGCCGTTGGAGAATTATTTCTAGGAAAGTAAATATTTTGAGATATGTTATGAGTCTTATACATTTTTTTCTTTTGAAAAAGTAGAACATCAAAACTGTTTCTCACCACATAAACTCTTATGGATCAAATGACTCTTAATAAGCCTTCAAAAATTATGTCCTTGTTTGGTAAATAATGGCTTTGCATGTTTTATCTTTTCCAATCATTAGTCACTATTTTAAAATCCTCATAATTAGGATTTTAATTGGAAACATTTTATAAATTTGGTAGAGTTCCTAGTGTGGTTCTATGCATTCCCAAATTATTTTGGGATTTTTGAAATTAATTTGATGTATTTAAAAGGTGTGATCTTCACTTCTTTTTTGAATTATTAAATTGATTTAAATAACTAAAAAAATATCCTATTAGAATTTGGTGGTGTCTCTTAGTAGCATAGATATCTTTCTGAATTTTCTTATTATTTCATTTGATAATTTGCATGTCATTTGTATTTTTCAAATGAAAATAGCCTTTTGGGCAAAGTATCAATTTACCCTTGGGTGGGGCCCATAATAATGACAAGCTTTCCACAATCTTATATTACCATTTAAGATATCCTTGAATTTTCTTAGAATTATTTGAGTTATTTTTTTTAATTATGTTATGATTGAAATATCATTTATTTCAATTATTTAATATAAGAAATATCATAAATATTCATGAAAGAAATTGTGATTGCCTAAATATGTGTTTTAAACCTTTTGAGTACATCTTATATTTTGCTGAGATAGTTTGGTCCAAATGCACAATTTCAAATACAAAACTCTTATTTTTGAATTTTTAAAGAATAGGATACAACAACAACATCAAGACTTTGTCGGTTTGTCCCACTATGTGGAGTTGGCTACATTACATGATTCCTTTTTGTCTCTTGTGTCTTATTAAGAGTCCAAATTAAAAAAAATTAAATACATGCATTTTTGACTCAACTAATGCATGATAGCACGTATCAGCATTATTTGAAGCATTGAGAAAACTTTCCCAAGTTATAAGATTTTTTTTTTAATTATTTGATAATGTTACTAATTTTTGCAATTTAGTAACACAATGTTCTAGATAGAAATTTTAATGAGCAAAACCCAAATCAATTCTGCAATATTTTGAAATCAACATTTTTTTAAATTAAAATTATAAAAAATGGGAGGGAAAAATTGTAATTTGAAGTACACATAGTTGCCCTCTATGTGACGATTTTGTTTGCCATGTGGTGGAAATCGTTATCCAGTTGCGACTTGATTGCCACAGGGCTTTTTTTCTTTGAAACTTTGGAGTAGCTGTTGGCTATCGATTAGGGCTATTTAAGCCTCCATTCTCTCCTATTTGTTCCTTTCCTCTCATTATTCTCATTTTCCTTCAAAATTTTTTGCTTTTGTGATTTTAAATGATGAAATTACTATTTCTCTTGAGCCGTTAACGACGATCTTCTTCTCTGACGATGGAAATGTTGTTTCACCCTTGGCGTTAGCAATGATTTTCTTTTCTGGCTACAAAAATTGGTTATTTTTTTAAAATAAATTTAAATGGTAGTTTTATATTTTAGTTCAGCTAGTTTTATATTGAATTGGAATTTCTCTTTGGGTTTATCTAAAGCCTTGAAGATTATTGTGGAAGATTTCTGCAAGTGGACGGGCCAAAGGGTTAATATCAATAAGTCTCAGATTTTTTTTGGGAAGGCGGTTAGGTATCCTATGAAGAAGAGAATTGCTAGACTGTTTGGTTATAAAGTGGTTAAGGAGATAACCTATCTAGGGATTAAGATGTCTCTCAATAGACTAAAGATTGTTGATTTCCAAGATGTTTTGAGCAATGTCATGGATAGACTAAATGCTTGGGGAAAGAAGTCTCTCTCATTGGGTGGTAAGATCACTCTTATCACTAGTTCTTTGTTATCTATGCCAAACTTTCTTATTACACACTCTTTGGTTCCTAAAAAAGTGTTGTATGAGGTTGAAAAACTTTGTAGAGGTTTTATTTGGCACAAAACTGATGGTAATCGGAGTATGCATTATGTGGCTTGGGAAGAATTGTGTAAACCTAGAAGAATGGGGGGTATGGGTCTTCAGTCTCCATTGATGAGAATTGGTTCTTTGAGATCGAAGCTGGCATGGAATTTCATGCAAAAACCTGATACTCTTTTTCACAGGACTATCATAAGTAAATATGGGGAGGAAATTATGAAAGATACATGCAAGAGAGCAACTTCCAATACCTGGAAAATTTTATGCGAAGGAGGTAGACGGCTGCAAAACATAGTAAGATGGAGGATTGGTAAAGGGGATAAAATCAGTGTGTTGAATGAGATTTGGTTACTAGACAAATGTATCAAATGGTGGCCAACTTTTGTGGATAGTGCTTCTCTGGAAGGAATGAATGTGCATCAATTGTTGTTGAGGAATGGCCAATGGAATTATGGCCTGCTTCAGGAATTTTTTCATCAGGAATTGGTTGTGTTAATCAGCCAAATTCATACTGATGTCAGTAATGAAGACCGAGTTTAGCTGCTGTATAATTACTCGGGTAAGACTGTTTCAGCTATAGCCCATGAAAATTTTATGAGAATCAAGGTTAACATGGTTAACATTGATTATTATGAGTGGTTATATAAAATTAAGCTTAACAAGAAGGTTGAAGTTTTTTGGTGGAGACTTGGGAAAGGCGCCATCCCTACAAACCAATTCCTGAAGCACCGTAGGATTGCTGTGAATGACCACTGTGCTAGAGGCTGCAATGTTGTTGAAAGTTTTGAACACATCATGGTACAGTGCAAGTATATGATTGATGTCATTATCCAGATGCGTAGATGGGGTATTTCAATCCCTGTTTTTCAAACGCTAGAGGGGTGTTTACAGGGTTTAAAGAGTTTATCTTCTCGGGATAATGGAATTGTGAAGATCTACTGTACAATTGTGTACCTGTCATGGAAAAATCGGAATGATTTTAAACATGGAAATTCTGTTCTGCCTTGCTATATGATAGCTGTGAATGCTTTGTCTTTGGCTGCTACTAAGTTCTCTCTACATCTTTCCAACTGGGGTACTAGTCTCCTTAGGGAGTCTCGTGAATCTTGGTGCCCTCCACCGAAAGATTGGATGAAGATCAATGTTGATGCTTCATTGCTTAGGTCTAACTGCTCTGGAATCGGTGGCATTTTCAGAGATTACAAGGGAAGATTCATAATTGCTTTTGGGGAGAACAAAATTCATTGGGACATTGCTCAGCTTGAGTTGGAAGCTGTTTTCTCGGTAAGGGAGTATATTAAGAGTTGGATGCTTGAATACAAAGGGGTAATAATTGAGAGCGACAACCTCGATATTATTACTTTCATCCAAGATTCTTTGAAGAAGAATAATTGGCTCTTTGATAGGTGGCCGGTAAAGGATTTGCTTTTTCTTAATGATTTCCATAAGGTTGTTTTTCAACATGTCCATAGGTATTGTAATAAAGTAGCCAATTTGTGTGCTACTATGGCTCTAGATAGTAGTTTCTTTTTTGATAGCCGTTCTTTTAATAACATTCCTTCCTTGTTATTCAATTCAATCAAGGAGGAATGTGATTCCATTAGTAATTGTAATTAGCTTCTTTTGGTTTTTAATGCAATTTGGATGCATTTCTTCAAAAAAAAAAAAAGAATTGGAATTTCCTCGTACTTTAACAGAGCTTAACAAATTATTAATTCACAATGAACTCAAGCAATGATTTCATCATGCAAGAGGATAATCAAGTTCAAGCAATCAATCACAAGCTAATAGAAGGACCAATAGATAATCAAATAAATTAATATCATGCTCACGTGATGTTTTAGAAGCAATTCTTAAATTAACAAATAGATTAGTCACTACAAAGACCCATTCACACAACGCACTTGGTTGGGGTTTAAGAGGAGAAGCTTTCACAATAAAATGATGCCACGATTGATGAAGGATCAAAAGGTGCAAGGGAGGGGGCAGAGTTTACCCGCAAGGAAGAAGATACTAAGCCACAATGAAGTCATTTGGCTGCCTATGAGGGGAGAACAACAATACGAATCCCTCTCACACTTTTGGATAACATTCTAACATCTTCTGGAAATCTGGACAACAATCTAACATCTTCTGGAAATCTGGACAGCAATCTAGCATCTTCTGGAAATCTGGATAGCAACCATGTGGGGTTCAAATCCTAGAATAGCTGATATTAGGCTTGGAAAACTGGGCAGTTGGCTATGGAAGCATAGGGGCAACAGTTAGCCAAAATCTGAGAATACTATTCACATCCAGTTGGCTTGCTGAATTATATTAGTGGTCAATTAGGAGGGGCGGCGCCTGGAATTGAATTTGATGGGCTGGGGAATTAATTGGGGTGGACACATAAGGAAGGGCGGAGAGGGGAAGGGGCGACCAACACTAATTGATGGGAGCTGATTTAGGGCTTTAGTGGAGTTGCCAATTAAAGCATATTCGCTAAGGATTTAATTCAGATTTCCGATCAATGCTTAAATTTGCATATAGGGATATCCTCCCAAACATAGCCCAATAATTTAGGAACCGAATTCAAAACTTTTAGGAGAATTCAAATTTTAATTCAGATTTCCTAAAATTAAGCTAGGCTAATTTAGGAAGGAGACTTAATGAGGATTCTTCATTTAAATTCAGATTTATGGATGGGGATATCTTTCCAAAAAATAATCCAACAATTTAGGAAGGGAAGTCAAGATTCAAAGAGAATTCAAATTTGAATTCAGATTTCCTAAAATTAAGCTTAGGCTAATTCAGGAAGGAAATTTAATGAGGGTTCTTCATTTAAATTCATATTTATGGATGGGGATACCTTTCCAAAAATATTCCAACAATTTAGGAAAGGAATTTAAGGCTCAAGGAGAATTCAAATTTGAATTTAGATTTCCAAGATTAGCTTAGGAAATGTTGGAGGATCAATGTGGAGAAAGAAAGTGGGGAGAAGAGGTCACGAAAGTTTCAGCCATGAGCAGAGGGGAGGCGGCGTTTAGGAGGAAGAGAGGAATGGGTTGTGGTGGATCGGCCAAGGAGAGTTATGGGTGATGATGGCTTGACTAGGCTGGGATGTGCCGAGTTGATGGGGAATGGAGGCGCCGATTAACTGTGAGCTCAGATGCTTCCTGCAGCTGATGGGTCTTGCTTTGCCCTCACCTAGGGACTTCACATGCGCTCTCACAAAAACTCTCAAACGCACCAAAACATAAAGTGCATAAATTTTCATTCATCATCATCATCGTCCTGCCCAAGGGGGAGGGTGAGGACTATAAATAGACAAAATATAATAAAACATCAAATGACAAAAGTGCCCCTTGGGGTCACATAAACTTACTCCCTCAAGTGAAGGTAAAAAAGAAAAATTACACATAATAAATCAAATACAAATAACTGCTCAGAAATAGAGCAATCCGATCCTAGCCATAGATCTCCGGTCCTTCCTCTGACAAACTTTTCACGGCCGGATGTCCACATCATATGTATTTTAAATTAAGTGGAATAATCAATCTTAAGAATGGGATTAGGCTACGTGTGTCTTTGCCAAACAAAATCAAATGATATATGTTAGCCTAAAGGGCAAGAGTAGATCAACAAAATTGTCTAATCCGAAGAGCAGGATCAGACTGGGAAAGGACCTGACCGAGAGAGCTTGACCTATCTAGATAAAGTATAGTCTATTTTTAAGTGCAAGACTAGACCTGGAAGTCGTAGTCTAATTCCAATGGTGGGATTAGACAAAGTATGACTCAATTTAAGAGAGCATAACTGAGTCAATAAGATAGAAATGCAATTTAACTTTAAGGGCGGAACTAGAAAAAGAAATGAGCTGACCAAGCGGAGGCGTGACCAAGTTTGATAAAGGATAGTCTAATCTTAAGAGCAAGATTATACTTAGAAGACAACATAATTCTAATAGTTGGATCAAGCTAAGAATGACTTTGTTAGAAAGAAGTAATTAAGTTAAATAGAGTAATATAATCAAAGAATATGATTACACTAGGGATATTAATATGATCAAGAGGGTATGTTTATGTGGAGAGGATGACTTAGTTAAAAGAGTATGATTAAGACAAAGAGATAATTGAGTAAGAAAAAGCATTACTAGTCTAAGATTATTGCAGTCATAGGAGCTTAATCATACTAAAGAGGAGCAACTTAGCTAAAAGAGTAGCTAAGTCAGGAATAGTCTAGTCAAAAGAGTATAATCCAGCCTAGTGAATATATCATATTTCCAAATTATAGTAATATAACATAATTTTGAAACAATACGCATGCTTGCTTTTAAACATGAAATAAAATAATATTATTTGATAGTAATTCTATTTAAAGATGATTTTGTAAGTGGCTTTGAATTATATATAATGTGTAAGTAATATCATGTCTTATTTTTTCCTATAAAAAAATACGAGTCAGATGAGTGACTATCTAAATAATACCAATTAAGATATTTCCTTTTCCAATCATTTTTTTTTTCAATGTTTTTTCCAATTTATACATGTAGGTGCATTGCGTCCCCATCCTTTACTATAAGAGGATGAACTCTATTAGTCAAATATGTACATGCAAGCATTCCTATATAAGTCATTTCATTTATATTTTTCTTAACATTAATATTTTCCTATAACTAACATTGTTTGACATTAAATAAAACTACCTTGATCATAAAAAAATTTATAATTTATTTTAATATGATCAATCTTTTCTACAGTAGAGTTGAATCATAAATAAATGTGCAAAAACAGTTGTATAGATAAATATAAATAGCATTATTATGCAATTGGTTTAAGAAAAGCAGTAATATTGTAATAATTTAAAAATATGAATACTCTTCTTAGTTCAGAAAAATTAGATTTCCAACTTCTAACTTAGTCCTTAATCTGTCTTTGTTACTTTGACACCTATAATAATATTAAATATTTATATTAGTTAATTATATATATCATGTTAAGTAATCTTAATTAGTCATTAGTTATTCTTTTAAAGTATATAATCATAATTAATATTCTATGTTGCACCGATACGGATACTGCGACACGGATACGACACGATACAGATATGGGACACGTCAATTCTTAAAAATACATGATACGGGTATGGCGCGGATACGACATTATAATTTATAAATCATACCTAAAAATTAAGAAAACAATCAAAGCATAATATTTGAAATTACAAAAACAATAAAAGTAACATCATTTGTAGCCTTGTAGCTTATAATATCAAAATAAAAGTAAGCATTAAATGTCTAGTACAACAACAAAAGCATAAACATAAATTGTCTAGCACATGAAGTTTCAACTATTCAATAGAAGGAATGATTTGAGTAGCTTCTTTAGTTGTTTGTCTTTGAACTTCTATATCATCTTCAATAAATATCATAGCTTCTAATTCAGACTCATTAAGTGAAAGATTAGCAATTTCTAATATTCTCATATCATCAAGAGACTCAAATCCATCTCGGAAATGAGAGAACCTCGCTCGCAGCCACAAAAGTAAATATGATGGATATTTTTTTTTCATATTTTTTTGTTTTTCAAGGGACGAGTATATTCGATACGCGTGTCCTTTTGAAATTAAATTGTATTTTAATTGGATATGGCAAAGCCGTATCCGACATGTATCGGTGCAGTATCGGAGGTGTATCCGTGTATCGGTGTATCAGATATAACACGCCTTCATAAATAGGTGTATCGGTGCAACATAGTTAATATTCATGAATAATTAGCGTATCATTTTAGTTAGCTTATTATATGCATGCAACTTTGATAATAATCATAATAAATTCTCTTTTTTAAAATACAAATCATCACTAATGCGTAAATTTTATATTTTCTTAATTTAATTATTTCTTTTAAATATATTTTATTTAGTCCCGTAATAATAAATTTATTTGCTAATTATATAATTAAAATATCCTATAATTAGAAAATTTGCTCTCTCTCTCTTTCTCTATTTATAATTAAACTTATTAACCATCATTATCTATATATATATATATATATATATATATATATATATTTTCGGATATTACTTCAACTAATCACTCTGCGATGTCAACCATTTTTAGGCCAAAAGTCCTAAGGGTATCCTAAAGTTTAGAATATTCTCTTTGCTAATTGCTACAATTAGCGGATGATATTGACCTTCAACTTCAAGAGAAGATTTTTTCTTTATCGGAATTCATGCTTTGGGAGTTCGGCTTCTCCTAGTAAACGGTAAACCTTGCTTCTATTTCTTGCATGATGTTGATCTAATCGGTGAGCTGTCATTGGTTTAAGAGAAGGATAAGAAGTTACAGTTTTCCCTTCAAGAGAAAATTGAGAGAATGAAGAAAAATTTCCTTCAACCAAGAAAAATTAAGATTTTTTTTTTCAACGGAAAATTGAGAGAGCTTAGGAAAAGAATAAACTTCATAATTTTTTTTTGCTGCTTCTCCCTTCTTTTTCTTTTCTTATCTGGATATGAATTTATTGCCGAATCATATTTAAGCAGATGACCAAGCTAGAAATGTCAAGGGGTTAAGGTGGTATATAAGGACAAGAATGAGGGAATTAGGTGGCATGTGAAGATACGCGAAGAGCAGTTAGATATGGTAAAGTTTAATAGTTGTAGAATTTGGTTAGAATAATGATAAAGTTATAAACTAAATTATTATTTTTTTCTTAATTAATGTGAATTTAAGTGCATCAATTCAAATTTTGAAGTAACTCGTAAGTTCATGCAGAATTAGTGATTTGTAGAGATGAAATTAGCCATAATGGATAGCATGAGATCCGCAGAGAATTTTTTTACCTTTCAAAGAAGGCTAAGATCATAAAGTTTCGATAAGAAGCAAGTGAGTTCTCATCCAAATATTGACAAATGGTTGGGATTCCAAATATGGCTTTTACTCTATTATTATCGCAAGAACTGCGAGTTATCTTCTCAAAATTAGGCAAAATGAATAATATTGAAGTTTTATAGAGTTTTAATAGCTTTCTAATAATGCTGAAATCCCCCAAGAAGAAACTAGCAAGTTCTCAAAATAGCAACAAGAGGTAGGGATTCCAAATTTGAGATTTACCCCATGATTATTGCAAGAGTTGCAATTTATCTTATTAAAATTAACCCCCCCCCCAAAAAAAAATAGAGTTCTAGAAAATTTTGTTGGTTTTTCGACGAGGTTAAAATCATAAAATTCTGACTAAAAATGAGAAAGCTATGCCCAAAATAATGAGATGTGTCAATTTAAAATAATATGGCACTCTAGGTCTCATTAAGCTATCGATTAAATAGTTAATGTCCATAACTATCTAAATTGTAGTATGATGAATATACGAAGCACGTCTAGATAAAGTTTGGTTTGTCAAGAATCCCTTTTAATGTAAGTTCATGAAGTTTAATATATTTAAGATTTACTTGAAATAGGCAAACTTATACACTTATAAATTGCACAGTAGAATATCACAGTGTCATTCAAAAAACTTCTAATAATTGAAACTTTCTTTCTTTTGGAACTATTTATGCAGCGCATTGGTGAAACTATTCTTAGTCATATATGCTTCTTGAAACAAGTTTATCCCATTCCATCCTCCAGCCCTTATGATGTGTACTCATCATTCCAATAAATTTTGATCTGTCATTTGAAATAATTAACATCTATATTTTTATTTACATTTTAAATTAATATTAGAGTTCTGATTTTTTTTTCACCCTCAATGCAGGGTTTAGCGGGAAATTATCCTAGAGGTAATAAAGAACTTAAAGGAGCTTATTTCAGTACTCATGGGCCACAAGATACCATGAGCTGGTTCTCCAGTCATGGTGTTGATCTTAAGGTCGTTATGAAAGAAAAATGTAATTCTGTTTTTTGTCTCCTTTGATTCTTAGGAAACCTCTGTAAAAGAACCTAGCTTTCCCCCAGATAGAAGAAGATGGAAGAGTTTTTCCAGTCAGCAACACTTCAGCCTCTATTGTGGATTGCCTTCTAGGTGAAGCAAAAGAGAGAGGAGGTATAGTTTCAGTTTTTGTGACATAATCTGAGAGCCGCTAGGCTCAGAAATCACCCCCTGAACTTGGATGATGCTCTGTCATGCTTTTAAAAGTTAATTTAATAAGCTTCTCGTGGTGTTTTGGCTTTGAACTAGTTGTAATAGGTGCTAAAGCAATTCTAATTGATTATTCTTCCTTTCTATTCGCTGTGTTGTCTTTTTCCCTCTTCTCTCTTTGGTGCAGAAAATTCTAATGGAAAGTTTTACCCAGCCATTTTCATAATTTCAACTGTTGTAATTAATGAGTTGATGGGATCTAAGAAATTTTGGTGGTATGTTCAAACATTTGATGGCTGGGGATGTTCTTGAATTTGCCATTTTTTTCCTATTTGGGTGCAACAATGGGCATAGAATAGCATGATGATAAGGAGTAATTAGATACTGCTACTCGCAAGGTGCTTTGTTCTGCATCAGATCTGTTAAAAAAGAATATCTAAATACTGAATGCTTCTTTTAGCTTGGTTTTGGGTTTTAATTTAGTAACATAAAAGATAACGTACTTCCAACTAAATGAGGTTCATTCCTTTTTCATGCCCGTATATTGACTTCACGTGATAAGTGGCAAATTAATGCGTCTATATTTAGTTTTATGTAGCACTAAAAACATTGCTTCCCATTGCTGTCGCCAGTCCTCTCTAACCCAAAGAGCTTTCTCCTTTCTGCTCTATCCACTATATTTTTTATTAGTAACGGTAAAAAAATTTTGGTGTTCTAATCTCATATCCTACTCCCCTCTCTTATTGTTTCTGCTGCTTCTATCTTTTCTCTTCAGTTCAGTTACATGCGCAAGAACAAAGCATCATGTTCTCTTTTAAAGTATTTTTTTGTGTTTTAAGATTCCCTTCTGACATGTCATTTCACCTCAGTCAAAGTTGATATACAAATTATTGCTCTACTCACTGGAACACAATATTTTGTTGTAGTTCAACTGCATACAGGCAAAGTTATTTCAAGTGCATCTATCACCTGTAAAGGAAAATTCAATCTGAAAATGGAGAAACGAACCATTGATTATGTGGAGGATATTGAGGTTGACTTCTTGTTGATTGCCACTGGGAACAACCAGCAGGTTGGAAGGACTTTCTTTGTGTTTCTGGAATCAACACTCTTGATTTAAAATGACCATTATACTTTTGGTCTCAGGGTTACCAGCTAGCTGTCCAACTTGGACATTCTATTGTACAACCAATGCCCAGCATTTTTACATTCAAGATAGAGGACACCAAACTGCAGTCTTTGTCTGGGGTAATGCTTCCTGAATTTTATGTTGTATCTCTACATTTTCAGCAGAATCTTGAAGAACTCCATAGTGCTGAATTGGCCTTGTTTCTGTTCTATGATAGTGAATTCATATAATTTGTTTTTAATTGTTTAAGGCCTATTTGTGGTACAGAAGATTAGTTTTGTGGTAGGATTTGGTAGATTTTGTAAGATTGTATATTGTTTAAGGCCATCTTGATCTAGTTGTACCCGGACGAACCATCCATAATGGAGAAGATCTTATGGGAGGAAGCTATGTCTACCATGAGTTCTGGTACAGGCAACGGAAATTCATCCTTAGGGCATGCTTTGCATATGCGGATTTTACCGTTCTTCTTTTTGACATGAACCATTCTGGCTAACCAAGAAGGATATTTCTATTCTCGGATGAATCCGGCTTCAATCAGCTACACTTGTGGCAATTTGACTCATTGACGGGATAAGGATTATTGGCTAGCCTACTTTGGAGATTAAATTTATCTAATTACCTATTTTTCAGACGTGGATATTTGCTGGCATGTATTGTGAACATGCATAATTGGACACTTGCAAATGCATGTGTATATGTATGTATGCTGTATATGCACATGCTAATGTGTGTAGATATGTACATGTGCATGTAGATCTAGTTTTACTTTATACGGCCTGTATTGACTTGTGCCAGTTTACGGCTGGCAGATTCCATTGCTATTCTATATTGTATCTCCACATGATGAGCAATACTTTTTTGTCTAGTGAAATTTTTTGTCTTTTCTATTCTTAAATATGTTTTAATGCTTTTGTGTATTTATGCTATGTTTGGTATATTAATGGTGAAAGAGACCAAAAAAAAAAAACGGTGAAAGAGACAGAGAAGGTTGAATTGTAGAACTTGGATTTCTTGGTTTTCTTTTTATGATAGGAGATCTAATGTGTTATTCCTTTATAAGTTATATAGAAAGATTTAGAAACTTTGTACATACCGAGAACTATACTTTAGCCTTCAGACAGCTTGTGTGCTTAAGTTAATCTATTTATTGAAGGCTGCTGGTTAGCTAAGAAATGAGAGGCATGCACGTAGAACAATATTCATGGTTCTGTAATATTGCACATCAATGCCTACTTATTTTAATTGTAGTGAAATATAGGCTTATATCCTGTTTCAACCATAAGAAGTAACCTAAGGTAAGTTCCAAATGAATGGGTCTGTCCGGTTGAACTGGGTTCTTATCGGGTAAGTTTACAGATAATTAGTTAACAGATATGGAGGTCAGTTGTGAGTAGTGGGTGACTTTCTCTCCTCTACTCTGTCATTTCCCATTTAATCATAAGCAATTAGGACAATATTTAACTAAAATAGCCGTGTAACTAGTTCTTGTTTGATATTTGGTTTTAGGATAAATTACAACTAGGTCTCTAAGATTAAGAGGTCGCTTCATGTTGTTTAATGTCTTAAAAAATTCTATAATTGGTCTGTGAATTTTATTATATGCTTTAATGGGTCCTTCTATGACCGATTCATTTGAATTTCTAAAATGCCCTTCACTTATAAGACAAGCTGAAGAACCTAGTTTAGATGAGCTATCAGAGATCATTATTAGAACTCCACTTTTGCACTTCGTAACTCATTGTCTTCAACAAAGACGTGAGCAGTTCTAGCCCCTTGTTGTAGGGAAAAATGAAGGGGAAAGTTTATGACAAAGGACAGGCCGATAGATGTTGATGCATTTTTATTGTGAAGTCGGTTTTTTTTTTGGCTCTCATATCTTTTTTATTGACAATTCTTTGGTGTGTATCATAATCTACCTTTCTACTCAATTTTTTCTTATTAAACATTGAATTTAAGGTTTTTCACATATGTTTTTCTTTTTAAATTTTTTTAGGAACAATTCCATGATCTAGATGCATTGTACCTAATTTTTCCCTCTATTTTCCCCAAATTTATTGATTTTTCTAGAGCTTACGTTTGTGCGAAATGCTTGTCTTACTGAACATAATCTATATTAGTTTATGATTATGTTGCAAATTTATGTATGGTTGTGTCTGGAATCATGAGTATGCGTCATTTCACTTTCATTCTTAGGGGGTCGTAGAAAAAAATAGAGGATGTAGACGTGGATAGCTACTCTATCGTAGATTTTGAAGATGAAATTTTATTGGTGGCTAAGAAATTGAATAACAATTTCAAGGCCGACATCAATATTGTTGTGCGATGCTTATATCCCAATGGGTTAGTGGAATTGCTTGATGATACTAATATATTGAATTTTCTTACTGAACATAGTACATTGGGATGGAATGATCTATATTTGTACATTGAGGATAGAGATGCCTGTTGGGATGGAATGATATCAATTTGAACGTGTAGAGCTCGAAGGGCATAATGTATTTGAACAAAGAGTGCAAGAGGGTCTGTGGAAAGTTTGCAGAGTCCTAGTAAGCCTCCATTATTACGTGTTTATAGGAACACGCCATTTGTTCTTGGTAGTAATTTGTGGATAAGGATGTGTCTATGGAATCATATGTGGAGTTTGAAGGGAATGTCAGTGGATTAAAAGCCAATTAGTGGCTTAGATGGTGGTGGTAGGCTCTGAAAATGAAGACACCACTCCATACTCGGATGAGTATATCAATTAAGAGATAGGTAGGTTTGGGGATGATAGTTTTTAGATTTTGGACTAGATATGGGTTGATAATAGGAGAAGTAAGGTAAAAGTTGGTAGATAGCTTTGAATGGGGTTTCCTTTTAGAACATTGATGATAACACGGTTTTGTCTATGGTTGGTCAATTCGTTGAAGATGGGCATCATATAAGAGATGCCTTAGGAATATATTTTATGCAGAAGGGAATTGAACTGCATAAGATACAATACAAAGATTGACTCTAAAATATGTCTCGCAAGAATCTGGCTGGAGGATCCATGCATTCATTTTGAAGGATGGCATTAATCTCAAAAGTAAGAAGCTACATGAGACACATTGTTGCATAAGGTCCTAAACTAATATGGTTACCACATACAAATAATTTCTTGAGACATAAATTTTAAAATATATAATTATTTAATTCAATGACATAATTATAATGGGGATAAAATAGAGTTGAAGAAGACTGAGTGGGATTATAAGGATTCATTAATTTATTGTCAAAATATCTAAAGTTCTTCTTAGAATTCGCACCAAGGATTTAGGTACTAGTTGCACATGATGCCGGCCGCCCGAATGAAATAATGAAAATTTAGTTTTTTTTTTTTTTAAACTTTTTCATCGGGAGGATTTTTGATAGGATGTTGGCTATTGTTGTTTATTGACGGATGCCATTTAAAGTGGCAGCATGGAGAATGGTTACTTATTGCAATTAAAATTACAATTATAAAGCTTCCTATAATGCATGTGATGTGGAAAAAATATGATTTGGTATTGTAAATAAAAAAAAAAAGGACCGAATTGGTCCCCGAACTTTCTTTTTAATGTCCAAAATAATCTTCAATTATATAAAAATATTAATTTGATCTCTTAATTCTTTAAATATGGACTAATTTAGAGGTCCCTATTTAAAAAGTTAAGGGACTAAAGTGAGACTGGCAGATAGTTGTGGATCATTTTAGTCCTTCGTAAAGAATCAGGTGACAAATTTGATCTTTATCTATAAATTTTCTTGCATCAGTACTTCATTCATTCACAACATGTTCAAGTCTGAAGTTATATCTTCTATGGTTTTTCCTCAAATGCTCATCTATAATTTCAGTTTTCCTAGATTATTGGCACTTATGTGTTATTTGACGTGTTCTTTGCAAGTAGAGATTGTATTGGGAACATCAGAAGTTAAGTTGACGCCACACCACTGGAAGAATACATAGACATTGCTAGCACATGTAAAATAAAACTCATCTTCTATTTGCACAACATTCTTTGGTTGCACTTGCAAAACTTACCCTAAAGCTAAAGGAGAGGAGATGCTTCATGTGCTACTTTGGCCCTATTTGTGTTAATAATGGATTTATGGAATTAGTGAAATATTAAAGGTTTTCCTGTTGGAATGAATGATCAACCGGAAGAAGCATCAATTTTGTAGATCAAGAGAGCATTTTTTCAGAACTAGACATATGAGACCTTCAGTTTAAGGTCACATGACCCTACTTAATTGATTTATGATGGTACTGTTAATACTGCTTCAATCATTCAATCAAATTTATTGTTATATGAACTTTCTGCTATGTGAAAGGGAGCTAGTTCAAGATTGCATGGGCTATATCATGAACTCGGTGATACTTGAATTCCATCTACTGTGGGTTCCATTGGCGTGGAACTTCTACTTGAGTTTTAAATTCATTTAGTTGAACACTGCTTCTTTTCTTCATGATGAACAGATCACATTACCAAAAGTTAAAGCCAGACTAAAGCTAGAAAATATTTACAAGAATCAACCTGAATATACACAGGTATGCATTAAAATGCTATACTAGGTTTTTTTTGTTAACAAACTTTCTTTACAATGCAAAATATTTTTTTCGTAGGTTGGCCCTATGCTAGTTACCCATTGGGGCCTTAGTGGTCCTGTGATTCTTCGGTTGTCTGCGTGGGGAGCACGTGATCTATTCCTTACTGAATACAAAGGTAGGTAGATTCTTAATTAACTCTTCTTTGAGGAATTACTTCAATTTCATTCTCTTTAGATTGTTCCTGTGGTTTCTCGTGACGTGCTAAATCAACATCAATTTAAGAGTATGCTAGACTGATTTACAGGAAATGAAGGATGCTGTCAATCATGAACGGTTTCTGTTGCTCCAGGGAGAAATTTTTGTTGTTGTTTGCACACAGATATACGAGAAATTATTCTGTGCGGTCACCAGACCGTTTGGAGACAAATCTGAGGGCACCACGCCACCCAGTACATAGTGGTACACAACAGCGCAAAAAGTGACGTGACACGCTCTGATTTGCCTCCGTACGTCGTTAGGTGACTGCATAGAATAATTTTTCTAGATATACACCCTTAGAAGAGGGGTATCTTCCTCTGCGTGGAGAGAATTGATCCTTGTGTCTTATTATTTAATTTATTTTCCTATAACGTCTAAATGTGCGATCAAGGGCACCCATCCTGTTTTAATCTTGAAATGGTGGAATTTATAGTTCCCGTGTTTCTTGATAATTGAAATGCATTGTCGAGCATCTTTTTCCTCTTGCATTTAACATCATGTTATACTAATTTATCACCTATTTAACCTTTAATTTTCTGAACATTTATGCAGGATTTCTTTACATAGATTTTATACCTGATATACACGTAGAAGATTTAAAAGTCATTCTTTCTCAACATAGAGATCATATGGCAGTGAGTTTCCTTCATCTGAACACTTTTCAGTAATTATAGAGCTGCATCATTAAAAAAAATAAATAAAATAAGAGCTGCATCATTCTTGATGAATTATATATTGTGAGATGCCTCAATACCGTAACAGCATGGAGTGCTCTAAATGAGGTTTTGTCCTTGGTTGTAATTAGGATTGGTTTGAATATGATATCAAGGTAGAATATAGGTTTAGTATTCATTGAAGTTATTAAGATGCGTGCAAGCAGCTAAACAAATGTGAATTTAATTTTATTTAAGCAGAATCATAGATAAAAAATCACAAATTTAGAATGATATGAGCCTAGTTAATTAGTTGTAGTATACTTTTTCATAAGTAAAATTAGTGTTGATTATAATTTGTAATTGTTCGAATCTGCAAACCGAGAAGCAAAATGCTTGATCAGCCAGCTAAGCATGGTGCAAACTTTGAGGTATGGAAATATTAAATGTCGAAAGGCGGAAGAGATTTAAATATTAACCAAAAATACAATTTAGTTTGATTTGTTTAATTTAAAGTTTTTAAATAATAAAATTGAAGAGTTGAACTGATCTCTCTCTCTCTCTCTCTCAAAACTTCAATAATCCTTTTGATCCGAGGCCACGGACATGCCCTGTGCATTCAAATTAATTGCATGATCTAACAACCTTGTAAGTTTTGCTACATGCTAACTTATGGTGTCTTCTCATAAATTATGTGGCTGGTCTTACCCTTTTGTTATGCAGTTAGAATCGAGCTAAATCTTCTAAAAGATAATAGAGGTGCTTTGAGTTTAGATATTCAATGTAATCTTACCTCGTAGCTTATTGCAACAATCCTGAACCTTTTGGAGTGACTAGTGGGCTGTTGTTAGGATGTATGGAGTTTAATTTTCTCAACCAGGATCACTGTAAATTTGTTAACGGTCTGTTTGGGATCACCTTTATTTTTTTATTTTAAAATATGTTTGTTTAGTGTATTTTAATTATTTTCATTTTTTTATTTTTAAAGATAAATCACTTTGTTTTTTTAAGAACACTCAAAACAACTTTGAGGTGGTTTGAGAGTTTTAAAAAGAAACATGTTAGCCCCAGCCATCAGTGACCATTGCCTCGCTGGCTGCAGTTGCTGCTTGTCGGAGACCTCCAATGCTTGCTGGCAATGTTGGAGCCACGATGGGTGCACTGGGGGCATGTGCTCTCCTCTGGCCTGATATATGTATTTTTAGATCTGATAGATTTTACTGGAATAAAAAAATCTAACACATCGATTCAGTTATCTTGCCCGAGTCCTGTGATAGGAAGTGGATGCAATTTCCTCCAAATTAGTGAACGACTATAAAAAATTAGAAAGAAAAACACACCAAAACTATTTTTGTTACAAGATATATGAAAGAAAATAATAAGATATAGTTGGATCAATTGGAGAGGAAGATCCAGCTCTCCCAAATCCCTAGCTGTCGGCTAGAGTCCAAATAACCTACGAATAAATTAAATTTAGCAAACTCCCAAAACATAATCTAAAATCACCCTATTGTTAGCCTTAAATAGGCTCTCATAATTCCCCCCAAATCAACCCCCTTTCCCCAAATAATTCCCTTTTAGATTTGAATTCAAATTAGATTTATTTCCCTAATTAATTCCCTCCCAATTGTAATTAAAAGTTTTCTAAACAATCCTCCCTTAATTCCTCCTCTTTTTCCCTAAATAATTCCCTCTTAAATTTTAAATTCAAATTAGATCTCTTGCTTAAATAATTCCATCCCAATTGTAATTTAAACATTCCTAAATAATTTCTCTTTGATTAAGAACCTTCCTAAACAGCTCACTCTTGATTAGAAAACTTCCTGATTCTCTTTCAATCAAATCGGTCAGTTCATCATCCTGTGCTCTTCGGACTCCTTACCTTCTTGAGGATTGATCGGATCTCACTCGTCGACGGTGAGTCCTCAATCATCGGGAGGCGTATAATACCCAAAATTTTCACCTATGTAAGCATGCATTTTTCCTCAAAATTTACTCCATTTTATCATACCTTCATAAAACATAAAAATTATTTTCATTAAATTTTATTTTTTAATTTAGAGCATTTTAATATCTACAAGTGAATATAAATTACAAGCCTATAATATAATTAAGTGGTTTAATAAATCAGAGCATTAGAAAAATTAATGTCTTTAATTAGCCCTAATCTATTGTAACAGATTATTAATTAAATGTAATTATTGTAGCAGTTTCCACTATAGTCGTTCCACTTATTTCACTTAAAATGCATGCAGCGGCTGATATTTTATCCCACGGCTGACATTAGGGGAATGTTTTAGTTGATGTGTTAATAATATTATATTATATATATAGATGAGCACTATAGCATTTCTCCAATCCTTCCAACAGCCCGATCCTCTGAAGTCTGAAGCAGCTTTCTGCGAGGAGACCACGAGTTGGGAGATGTCAGGGCTATGGGCTGCTGCTTGCTGGGGAAAAGTCAGGAAATCAATAAGGTAAGAAGAGGGGAATAGTTGGGAGAGGGAAAGAAAATGATTGATGCTGTTCTTTGCTGAAAATAACAGCTGAGATGCTGCTGTTTGCCGGAAATAACAGCTGAAATCAGAAATATGTATTGGAAATCTATAAGGAACTTCAATTGTTGAATTGCTGAATTCAGGGGCTGTTTGGCAACAAGTGGGATTTAATAAATCCTGTAAATCCGGATTTAGTAAATCCGAAATGTGTTAAATTTTGAAAACTGTTTGGTATATCAAATATTAAATCCTGAGAAACTGTTTGGTAACATATATCAGGATTTATGGCGGTTAGGATTTTAAATTTAAAGGAGATATTTATGAAGTCAAATTCATTGCATAAAACATAATAAAAACAATTTTAGTTCATATAAATTGAGCGAAAATTCAATAAAAAGCAAATTACAAACTAACATTAACCAAAGTGACAGATGAAGTATTAAATAAGCTAATTATATTAATATTTAATTACTAATTATATCATTAATTAGTCAATTAAGTTAAGTTAAATAATTAATTTATGCACTAATTATAATATTAATTAATTAATTTAATTATTAATTGTTTAAATTATATTAATTAAGTTAAGCAATAATAACTTTGAGGCGTCTAGGGTTGGTTTGCCTTCATCTTTCCTTTTCATCGTTGCTGTTCGGCTACGTTGCTTCGCAAGAGGTGTAGAGTTTGCGCGTGTTGCTACTTCGGCTCCTTCGTGGTTGTTCGACTTTGCTCCTTCGACGACTTTCCCTTCCTGTCGGGTCGGAAGTTATGACATTTTGATCGGAAGCAACAAGGGGAGCTTGCTGGCTTTGAAGGTTCTCCCTTTCGCACGCTTCTTCGGCGACTATTGAGCTTCGGCGACACGGGCGCCGCGGGTAAGTCTTCCGTCACTCTTTAAATCTCGTTAAATCCACTGAACCGAGGGATTTAGTAAATCCGGGATTGATTGAATCCCGTGATTTAACGCCCGCTGTAAAACCGTTTGGCTGGATTTAGCGTAAATCCGACTTAAATCCTACGATAAATCCAATACCAAACAACCCCTTAGGTTGCAGAAATCTGGTGTTGTTTTTTAAATCAATAAGTAAAGTAGGAGGAAAAGCTGAATGCAGGTAAGGGTATTGTTGTTTGCTGAAAGTAGGTAATAGTTGTTGTTGCGATTTCCTAAAATAAAGGGGTTGCTGAAATCGATTTGGTATATAAGTTGGCGTTCTTAGCTAAAATGGAGGTTTTAAGTCAAGATGTACATGCATTATAGAATGTTTCAGTTATATTAGAATTTTCAAATATATTTTCTAAAGAATACATGGGTTACCACCTGAAAGGGAAGTTGAATTTGATATATAATTGCAACCAGGGACATTAGTTATATATAAATCTCCTTATAGGATGGATCCAAAGGAATTTCAAGATGATAGCGTGCTTGTGGTCCTGGGTTGTTGGTAATCCTCTAGGCTGCTGAAAAATCTTAGGAAACTACTATAGAAGCTGATGTACACCCTCCAAGACCTTATCTACCTTTGACTCTCGAATCCTTTCCAAACTCTGCGGCTCTACCAAGTAGCCCAGCATTGCTCCTTGTATCGCCTTGACCATGATTTCGAGTGACATCATAGTTCTGCATAGGCCGACATCCCCTTGCAGCACCACCTTCTTCTCCTCCACCTGAATCTCCATGGTCTTGGACTTCCAATCCCATTGGTCTCCTCGATCATCTGTAACCATTTCATCCCTAGGATCACATAAGTGCTTCCCAAATCTATGGAAAGAAAATCATCCACTATCTGTATGTCCTGGAGTGCCAACACCAACCTCATGCAAATCCCCCTACTCTTCTCTACCTTTCCCGTTCCCATCATGACTCCAAAGCTCCCTGTATCCACCAACTTCAATCCTAACTGGTCCATGACCCGGTTGGAGATGAAGTTTTGAGTAGCCCCACTATCCACAAAAACCACTATTGGCTACTCCCTGATTTGCCCCCTCACTTTTAGGGTATGATTTGGAGTAAATCCTATTGCAGAATTTATGGACACTTCGATGTAGGTGCTCTCTCCCTTCTCTTTCCTCCACTAGGCCCTCACTATCAGTATCTTCCTTCTCACAAACCAGAAGGACCTGGAGTGTGCGGTCCTTGCACCGATTTCCTGGTTCATACTTCTCATCACTGCGAAAGCTCAGATCTTTCGCTTTCTTGTCATGTACCTTTGCCTCTGTGAGGTGCTTGAAGTTGGCCCTCGGGTGAACTCCCCCACTCTTCTTCCTTGGTGCTCCCCATTGAGATGATACCATTTGGGTCCTCGGTGCCAATGAAATTGAGGTACTTATGTAAGAGCCTCCCGCAACTCCGCTCTTACTGCTTCTCTCCATGTGCCTCCGATCGTCCACTATCTGTGGTAGCTCCATCGTCTCCTTCAACCCCTCGAGTCTTAGCAATCAAAGGTCCGCTCGTATGTCGAGCTTGAGGCCTTTCATTAAATTTCTCTCCAGGATCGCCTCTGAAATTGCCCTTAGTCATCCCGACAATAACTTGAATTTCTCCTTGTATTCCATGATAGTCCCCTCCTGAGTTAAGGCCAGGAATTGCTCATGTAGGTCTCCTTCTCGAATGGTTTGAAAATTCTCTAACAAGAAATCCTTAAACTCCTCCTACGAGTGGATCAGGTATCTAAACTCTCTCCACTAGAACCACACAAGAGCTTTCCTCTCTAGACATACCCTTGTGGCGGTCAGTTTCTCCTCCTTTCTCAATTCGTTCACCGCTAAATACCTTTCCATTTGCATCCACCTTCTTTGCTGTCATCTCTCTAAAACTTCACTCTGATACCAATTTTATGCGTCATGGAAGTGGAAACAACAAAATATAGAGAAGAATAGCGTAGGAACACAAGACAATGGATGTTTTTTTGGATTTATTTTACAAAAACAAGCAAAATACAATTGATATGCTATTTGAGAGGTAGATCGGCTATGCCAACTCTATTAGAAGCTGCTAGGAAGACCTAAAAGAAAAAGAAAATTAGATCAGAAATCAATTCACACACATAATCCTAGAATCAACCCTAAATAAGCTTTCTTAATTTCCCCCAAAACAACCCTCTTTCCTTGCTTAATTCCCTCCCTATTTTGAATTCAAATCTCTCTCATTAATTCCTTCCTTAATCCTTTTTTTACATATATAATGATAGGTTTAATGGGCCCCATTGTGTAAAGTAAATGCCCGACATTGAACTCTATAGGAGAGAAGGAAGGGGAGAGAGCAGTTCACCATAATGTTGATTCAAATGAAGAACCCCTTAGTGATGACAGTGCTAATGACTTATGAGTTCTTATGTGATATGTCATTGCTATTTATTTTTGGAAATTGGAATTATAAGTTAATTAAAAGAATACTGGGATTTGGAAAAAATAGAATTTTGAGTTGAACTATATTTCTTGTTGAGATATTTTGATTTCACTTCATATCTTATGTTTTTTTTATGTTTTATATTATTCACTAATTTGTATATAAAAAATTTATCATTTTATGTTTACGCAATCTTTTGATTTTGAGGCTTACGCCTCAAAACGCCTTGAGGCTTACGCCTCGCCTCACGAACGAAAAACGCCTCAATACCCGAATACGCAATTTTAAACATTGGTTTTGTAGATACAAACATATTTCATTTTTTGTCAAAATATAAGCAAAATAAAATAAAAATAAAAAATTAAAAAACAAGGCCCCTGTGTTAATATTCTCATCATTTTGAAATGGGTTGTGCTGTATTTTTTAGTTGGGATTTATAATGAGATCTTGATAAATCATGCATTTTGTATGTGGTGTTTGAGTTTCTTTAATTGGTCCGTCACCCCCTATAAGTAGATTTGTGGAAATGGATTTTAAAAATAAAGAGATAAATAAATATATATAGAAAAGAAGGACTTGATTGTATTTCTTGTGTCAATGGTGGAGCCAAAATACTCTATTTACAGGCAAGCAGAGTGACCTACGGGGACTTGTTAAGGGACTAGCAAATAGAAAAATTAATTTCAAAATAATATATATAATCAATCTTCTTCTGATAGAATTAAATAATAAGAAAAATATAAAATATGGTAGAAAATGAGACCATATGGGACATAATTTGAGTGGCAATTCCAATAGCCAAATTTAGGAGAAAAGTGCCCCATATGTTGCCAAAACAGTTAGATTTAATTGTTAAAATGTTGAGCCTGATTTATGTAATTGATTGGTGATTGATTGTGATAGATTTCCTTTGTTGAATAGTCCCTTAATTCCTACATCATCAAACAATTTTCCATCTAGGCAAGGAATAATTATTAGGTCTGGTATTGCTAGGTATTGGTCTTGACAGAGTGGTGTTCCTCGTTATTGCCAAGCAATACCGAACAATACCTAGCAATACCCGAACATAGCAAGACCGGGTTCCGGTCCGAGTCGGGTCGTCGGGCCGCGCGGTAAAGAGTAAGAGCACGTGGCGACATGTTATTGGCGTCCGGACGTAGAGCTACGTCAGGCGTCTGAACCTTATAATTATTCCCAGGCAAGAGGGCGGTAAATGACAAATAATAATTCCACAATGGGCTTGTGGAGATACCATGGCAGGAGCAGTACAAACCAAAAGTTGTACAGTGCTCCTATAGTAATGGAAGATCTGGTTTGCAGGGCTCGATTTTGATTAAGAGGAGAAGCCAAGCAGGATTGCTTTATCATCTATGTTTTTTTAGTCTGTTTCCTTACAACTTGCCTTTTTATTCTATCAATTCGATCTTGATTATTATTAGGGGCATATGAATTTTTCTCTGACAAATGATATCAAAGGGTTGCTTAAGAAAGCTTTCAAATTCGAGCATGAAGGATATGAGGTTTAAAATCAACAAATTTGATAGTCGAAACTTTTTGAAAGATGCAAATAAGAAACTAGCCCTATCCTAAAAAGCTTCATCAACTGTTGAAAGGAATTTATAATGGTGCATGATAGAAATATCATATGATTGGACACTTGAAAAGGGGTTGTCCATAGAGTAAGGGTAGATGGTTCAAATAGATGGAGGTGTCTATGAATACTGCTTGTGAAGAGATTTATGATGCATTTATCCTTAATGCAGATAGTTTGATGGAGTCCTCAATTTTGGATTCAGGTTCGCCATTTCACTTTGTTCTTCAGAAATAGTTTATGATGAATTATTCCGTTGTTTCTGTAGCAGATTATGGGTATTAATCTTCTTAATGGTCTACTCTTGTGCTTCCTTATTTTGGTTCTTTAACATTTATATTTATAACCCTTGGCCCCAGACCTAAGGAGATCATGGTAGGAGTAGTGCAAACCAAAAGTTGTAGGGCTGGCTATCAAAGGAAGATTGGATGTGTGGGGCTTGATGTCTGTGACTGGCAGGAGAAGCTAATCAAGCTTCCTTCTTGTACCACTAGGGGCGGGATTTCCTGCTCTTGTTTACCATAATCCTCTGTTTTTAGAAGCTAGAGACGTAGCTCGCTCAAGATTTTCATCATTAAATGTCACACATAGGCCAATTACGTTAAGTCCCATTAATTGCATAACTGAGGTTTCCAAAGCCCACTAATAAAAGGAAACTAATTTTGCGATACATGAAATCATCCACTAGATGATGTTGATCAGGAAATCACACCTTATGTTAATGGAGATCTGAATACCTTCTGCATCAAATCTAAAGAGCTCACTGCCGACTTCTACCCTAAGGAATCCTCTTACGCCCTTACGCTGGCTGAAGGATCAAGTACTTATAAAATCTTATGCAATGTTGGCTTGAATAACAATTTTATCTTAGTAAAAGACCCCACTTAGTGGGATAAAAGCTTGTTGTTGTTGTAGTAAGTAAAATTGCTAAATTTTTTAGTTTTATACTTTTATTTTTCCCTTGCTAGAATGAAACCTCTATTTAGATAACTGTTTTGCATGGGAATTCATAGTTCATATTATGCGTTTATTACAATTATTTTCTTAAGACATCCTTGGGTGATTGTTTATTTTGAGCATGTAAGATTTATCTAATTCAAATTAATGGTAAGGTTTTATCTTCAAAGCACGTTGATCATACTTCTGTTTATATGGTACAACATATGTTAATGGATTTTCCGGACCATTGCAGAAGCAGCAGCTGTCCAATTCATTTCCGTCTGAGTTTGGCTTAGCAAAAAGATTTTGGGGATATTTGCTAGACCGTGAGGTCATAATCTGATGAGGCATAGTTATCAATCTTTACTCCAACGTTTAACAATTATGTATAAATTGACTGCGTTTATATAACTTCTCAGGGCTTAGATGGTGACCAGCTTTGGGCTTCCATAGCGAATAAAAGTTTAAATTCAATAGCACTTCTGCTAAAGCAATGTTCATTCAAAGTGATTGGAAAGGTTAGACTCTTCTAAGTTGTTTTTTATATAATTTAATATTAATACATGAACGTCTACTGTAGATTTAAAGAAGAATTTGTTACTGCACTTACTAGTAACATGAGAAATGACATTCTTTTTAACTCTATATGAAGGGTCAATTTAAAGAAGAATTTGTTACTTCGGGCGGTGTTCCGCTCTCAGAGGTTGGGATCTTTATGTCTTTCTTTTAGCAAAATAAATTTGATTTTTTCTGTGTTTGACAGAGTATTTTTCGCTTGTTTTGATGAAGATCACTCTTAGCAATATGCAGAGTAGGATACGGAGAAACCTATTTTTTGCAGGAGAGGTGATTATTTGATAATTAAGAGACCTTTTAGAAAAGCTTTACCTAAATGTCTTTTTGAAATTATTCATAGAAAATGATGCAAATTAATTGCAGGTTTTAAATGTTGATGGAGTTACTGGTGGTTTCAATTTTCAGGTAGTGATCACTATGAATTCCTGACATCGCAATTTATATTAAAATGATTGGAAGCTTAAAAAACAATTGCTATATCCGCATTTTTCTGCATTAATAAACCTTGTAACTGGTTTTAGCTATTAGAGGAAGTAGTTGAAGTATTGGGTAGATGAATAATGCACAGGGTCATTTTAATTATGAAGCATTTGAAATTTACTCGATAATGCTCCACCATAGTCCATGTAGTACTATGTTTCAAGCTGCACTATATGCAATTTAAACTTTATATTTATGCTTTTAACTCCTAATCCTAAGGATTAACCTGTAGTTATCTGCTGTTTAGAATTTCCATCTTCATTCTAGTCTGTTGAAGAAATAATGGTATGTCACCATTGTTCTTCGGCTAAGAACCCCTCTAAAATGACATTGTCTAATGGAAACTTATTGGCCTTGAAGGCGAAACAAAACTTAGTGTCTCCATTCTGATTGAAGTTATAAAGAGGTGCCTTTATTATTACTTATCAGAACTTCAAGTTTTTGGAACCCTAAAAGATGGTGCCCTTGAACAAGGAATCTATAATTTTTATATTACTATTACCTCCGCCTCAGGGTTGTTATGTCAAGATGTTATATACTTTTTATATATTATTAATAAATATGCTTTTTTAATAGAATGAAGATATAATTACGACATAATCAGATAAGCACTGTTTGCTAGTTATGTTATACTTTAATTGGAAATTAAAATTTGGAGAGAGAATAAAAGAACTAGAAAAAAATTTCATTTGATATGGAGTTTAAGATTAGTAAAAAGAAAGTAGAGTGCATGTTTCTTCTATAAAATGGATTTGGTTTGTCCCCCCAAATGAATGAAAATAACAGAGAGGATTTGGTTCGAGTAAATTTTTTTAATATCCAAAGTACGCCTATTTTAATAAAAGAACATAAGTTTATTACCTTTCAATCCTCTCTCATCCATCTTTCTTCTTATTGGTTAATTAGAGTTTGAATATGTTGGATACAAATTAATTAAATTATTTATTAATTAAGTTTGTAATTAATTAGTTGAATAATGATTATGAAATTCAATTAAGACAATGTTAACTCATTAAGATTTTTTTTTTTGGGGTAAAACCCGTACAAGGGCCTACGCGTTCCATAAAAAAAGGAATTACAAGTCCTTAAGCAATCAAAAACTCTTTAAAAGAACAACATTTGAAGTAAAACCTATTGATCCTAAGATCCTATCTATTACAATAAGAAAAATAAAGCTAAGAAACAAACAAAACGGCAAGACGATCAACATTAGGCTTCAGCAACACCATCAAGATGAACATGCAACCAACCGAAAGGCTCCAAAGCTAAGAAGAAACAACCTGCAACAAAATTGGGAAACCACCCACAACAAAATCATAAGAGAAGAAAAGACTCAAAACACAAAACACAAAACACAAAAGAAACAAAGAATCCAAACAAACACCAAAGCAGCCATGATAACGCCAACAAAACCACCCAACAAAAGAAACAACTCCAGTCCAACACAATGACAAAAAGGCACCCCAACCAAACAAGAAATAACAAATCACCTTCACCCACAGCACAACAGACACAACACCAGCATCATGAACCCACACACACAAACAACCAAAAATCAGAGGGCCTAAAGGAAACAACCAATCCTACCAAAGGTACCACCAAAAAATAAAAATTACTTCTTTTTTAGTTTTTTTTTTTTTAAATTTTCTTCCTACTACGCTCAGGAACACCATTCCTGAAAGCATCATCTTCAATACAAACCATATTCAAGCCAAACAAGGCTTGAAAATTATCACTAGGATCCACCTTATCTTCCACATAACTCTGGTAATCATAGGAACAACACTCATCCTGCCAAATGGACTGATCCAAGCATGACTCCTTCAAATTTAAAAACCAAATGAGCATTCAACACGTCAATAAAAGTCACATTTTTATCCATATTGACAGAATTGGGCGGCACATCTGGATCAGACAAGGGAGAGTCAGCAGGAACCAACACCAATCCACTAGAAGAATCACTCAAATCAATTCTGTTAACATCACAAACTTCCACATCAACACCATCTAAGTTCTAACTACAAAGAGTATTTCTTAGCAATTTTCTCACCAACAACTGGGGAAGCATCACGAGGGTCACAAGCAATAGTTAAAAAAAAATTATTACCATCCACAATATTAAAACCCTCCCTTTGCTCACGATTATGAAATTCTAATAAAGGAGTATCACAAGGAGAATGAGAATAATTAACCACAGGAAACAAAGCATCTCTGTTGTCCTCCACATCAACAAAACCACCAATAGGCACATCAGAAGGGCCCGATTCACAAACCGTAAGGAGCAAGAGGTCAAAAACCCACAATACTCACATTATCTTGCAAAGTTAAGTCAAAATTAAGAGCAGGAGTTAGCAAGGGAGTAATAGTTGTAACATCAATGTTAACCTGTTGAGCCTCAGTATCAACATCCACAGAATTAACAACAAGTTAAGGAGCCCTATCTAAGTGAGGGTGAAGAATAACATTCAATTTTGGAATGCCCCAATGACTTGCATTGATCACAAAATAAAGGAAAATCCTCTATAACAACATTTTGGATGTAACCTAAATTTTTCGGACCAAGCCAAACTGCATCAGGATAACTTTTGGAAATATCAAGTTCAACAAGCACCCTAGCAACAGAGGGGGAAGAAATAATGGCGGTAGCATTATCAGATTTCAACGGACGACCAAAAAGTGAACCCAAGCCGTGAAGAATGCGGGGGAGAATAAATGAGGCCTAAGATTTGGGAACAAAATCCAAATTAGAATGATAAGATATTCTACAATAATATAAAAAAAGCAACCACTTAAACAACTTCATATAACAATTGGAGACGAAGTAAGGACGATGAGAAAATACTCTACTGTAGCCCATATCATTAACCAGCTTAATTAAAACATGCCTTGGATCTAAAACAGTGACAAAGCAATCACCGATCAACTTTAAGTTAAAGAAGAACTTACGAATCGTTACAAGAGGACGACGATTCGGAAATTTACCCACCAATGTATACTCAAAAGGTTGCGCCTAAGCAAGGATTTCCCGCTTCGAAATCCATAGAGACAGAAGCCCCTCGATGTGTTGTAGATTTGAGGTCGGGAAATCCGCTAGAAAGGGAAGCCCCAGACAATGCTTCAAGAAATGAGCGAGTATTTTTTAGTCCCAAAGGAAACCACCATCTGATAAACGATTAATCGCCATCCGATCGAATGACGACCAGAGGTGGCACGATCGCCAAGGAGAAACAAAGTAGGAAACATAGCAAGATAGGGAAAAACACCCTGAGAGGAAATCCCATAGGAGTGAGCCATGAAAGGTGGAGAAACCATAGCAGAGCCATGCGTGTTGTCTATTAAGATTTGATTATGATAAATATGAATTTAGGGTTTAGATAGTGAATATTAATAAATTTATAATTAAAATGATTATTTGGTTTAGCCAACAATTATGTAAGTGTAATATTTTGAAGCTCTTGATCCTAAATGGTATATGTCATATTAATTATAATAGTTTTTTTTTTTCTTTTATTTCTTTTTATGAACTCCCAATTAAAAATAAAATGAATATATATATATATATATATTCTTTTTTGAAACTTTCAGTGGTGTCTACATCTTTTCTTTCTTTGAATATCTCTCCAGTCAATTCCTTTATCTTCTTTCCTCAACTCCCAATCAAAGTTTAATAAATTATTATCTTCTTCATTATCAGGTTTGTTCCCAGCTATATGGGCTCTCTTCATTAATCATACGCCTATCATTCCTTGTGAAAGCAACATGTAGCATCATGTGTAACAGCTAACTAGGAATCTCCCTTTCGAATTTCCTAACTTTTTTAGTTTCAATGTGTACTTTACCTAGCTAGGCTTTTTACATTGATCCTTGCACACTGCCTGACCGGTGCTTCAAGTCTCTATTTTACTTCACAAATAATCTATTTTTCATAGATGCTGCTCTGGTACTTTATATGTTGATAATGCTTTTTATGATTTTAAGTACTTGGTCGTTTGATAGAGTTGAGACGTTTATTTTGGCACCTATAGAACTCTCCAAATTATTAAAAAATCAGTTTTTACTCTACAGTGCAAAATTTGAGAATTTATAGAGCCTATTTTTTACCCTACGAAGAAAAAAAAAAGAATTGATTTTCACCAACTTCTTTTTATAAAGGTATCCAATATTTGCATGTTATTTTGGCAAGTGTATTGTTGAATCTTACTGTATTTTTGGCTGACCTAATTATTTTCTTGTAACGAGGTGCGCCATATTTATGTTGTGTATGAGAAATTAGGGTTATAATTCTTTAAAATTAAAACTCTATTGAAATATGAGGTTTTGGCAATAGGATGCCATCAAGATTGCGAACTTTGCTTATAACTTTGTTTTTTTCTTGTAGATCCACATTTATATTTTTTCGCTCTCTCTGTTTGAAATTGGTTTAGCCTATCATCCAACAAAACTGATTAAGATTTGTCACTCCAACATCTTGAAGTTCCATGTTGATCAAATTATGAAGCACAATATTAGGTTTGGCTATATAATGTAACAAATTATTCTACCAGGGCTTTGTTTGGGACAGCTTTCTTACTGTTTTTTAAAGCAGCTTTTTAGTATAAAAATTTTATTTGTTGTACTAAACAGCTGCTTTAAGAAGCAGTAAAAAAGCAGTCCCAAACGAAGCCTAGGTCATCTGAAACTCTTATCATTCATTTGGCGGATTCATATCTGCTTTTTGTATTAGAAGGGTTCTCTCTGGCTTCCCCTTTTATTTTTTAAACTGTCGTAATGTTCAAAAGTGCATGCATATCCTTTCAGAATGCTTGGACTGGTGGCTACATTGCAGGAACGAGTATAGGTGAACTGGCATCAAGTTATAACCAGCAAGTGGGAGTTGTATAAGACATCACAGGCACAGGCAGGTCGAGTTCTGAGGCTGCAAAGATAACGTTAGCAAATTAGCTCAAGTAGGCATCTCTCCTCCTTTATTCCTATGTAGTTCTGAGGTCTTATTACTTTCTCCAAGGCACTTTCATCATTATAAATTTTGAGATGTAGTCTTTTTGCATTATCATGTACGGAACTTTAATCTGTTTGTTGCTGCTGTATTATCCTTATTTCGGCATGCTGCATATATTTTATTAAATTATGACCGCCAGAGAGGAGTCATTAGAAGTTAGATACATAGACATATGTATGCAAAGAAGATATATTTAAAACTAAGTTTAATAATGTTATTACGTGTTAGAAAATTTTTGACAGTGAAGTGAGAATTTTATGTCCTATTGCACGAAAATCTTGCACACTATGTTAAACAAGAAACTGTAGGAAAAATCAAAATTTTTACTTGGAAAACTCTGAAAGGGCAAAATCTTGGGGCATGACCTAGTTGAAATAACCAACCAATATGCGAGTTATAAAAGTCTGCTCTTCCTGTGCTTGGAGAAGATAGGATTTCATTGTTGGGAGCACTTGGTCCCCTATTTCTTTAGAAGAGATTATTGTAGTAGAGGGTGATGAAAGCGGTCGGATTACTGCATTCTGGTGACAATAATCAGATGATGATGATTAGGCGACACCAATTGAAAGATGGTTATTAGGAGATCACAAGCTAAGTTTTTGGAAGATTATAAAAAGGCTGAATTATGTCATAAATGTTTAGATGGTGGTGAGTTAATAAGGTTTGGATGAAGATAACATGCTAATTTTTAGGAAGATTATAAAGAAGAGTAATAAGTTAAATGGACATGAAATATACATTTTATTTACATTTTGACTATTTCTAGGACATGTATTCTTTAAAACCTCACTCAATTGATAAGAAAAGTTCAACTCTTATTATTTGTTTTCATCAAATTTTTAATAATTTGATTGCAGAATGTACAAATGCATGAGCTTAGTGATTAATTGATATTAGATATATAAATATGTATGATTTCAATTTTTCCCTTTACCAGCTTTAAATTATAATTTCGAGTCCCAGAAGATTTGCAATATATCAATAATATTTTGACATCCACTCAGTATATTTGATCTAATATATTGGTGCAGTGGACAAGTAGTATTAATACAACTCAAACCTGGTGAGACAAAATATTATTTAGTTATGATGATATGAGCTTTGTGCTGTATTTGACAAATATTTATGAGATTTGTTCACCTGGTGGAGATTCGGAGATCTTTTCCTTATGTGGCTTATTCTCATAAAAAAGATTGGATCCTTAGATTGCCTTTTATTTATTTGTACATGAAATCTTTGTCTAAATTTAAGATCTTGAATTGTCTCTACAACTTTGAATGTTTCAATCCACAATAACTTTGTAAACTCTTAGGCAAAATTAAAGGTTAAAACTTCTCTTCAATGGAGAAATAGAAGTCAGAGCGCTCATGTAGTACTTTTCTGTTTTATTTTTCATGTTTAAGCTTCAGTGATATGGTCGTGTTCTTTTGACTGTTGATTATTTGGCATTATTTATTTGTTCTGTCTATATATTTTTTTAAGTTTATTTGTTAATATTAGATATCATTAAGTGCTAGAAGTTTGTGATAGTAGAGAAAGAGATTAACATAGTAGTTTTGTTCGAAATGATTATGGTCGGGCGATAGTGGTCAAAAGATTGTAATCAGATGATTGTGGTTAAAGGATCGTAGTCGAGGGATGTTTTTAGAAGGATCATGGTCGGGAAATGGAGATTGGAGGATAGTAGTTGGATAATGGTGGTCAAAGGACCGTAGCCAGGCACGGTGGTTGGAGGACCATAGTTAGACGATGCCGGGAGGAGGACTATAGTAGGATGACGGTGGTTGGAAGGACTTTCATCAGGTGTCCGTGGTCAGATGGACCGTGGACAGGTGAAAAAGGCCAAAGGACTATAGTATGAAAACTATGTTTAGAAGGACCTTAGTGGGGCACCAACAGTCAGAAGGATTGTGATTAGGTGATGGTGGTTGAAGAACCGAGGTCTTGGGGCTGTAGTTGATGATGATGCTTGGAAGGGCCGTAGTCAAGTGATGGTATGAGGACTATAGTTGGACAACAATGATTGAATGATTGTTTTCAAATGATGGTTGTTGGAAGGTTTGTGGCCAAGCGATTAGTCGAAAGACTAGTTGGACAATAGCAGTTGCAAGGTTGTTCGATCAATGAAGGGATCAATGAAGGTTGAAGGTTTTTATTCAGGTTATGTTAGTTTGATTATGGTGGTTGTATGGTAGTATGTTGGTGTTGGTTGGGCGATGGTCTAACGATAGTGGTCGGGGGATGGCATATTGATGATATTCAGGTTTTGTTTTGACAATGACGATCATATTGTGGTCTAACAAGGACGTTTGAATGGTGGCCTAGCAGTGGTGGTGCTTGAATAGAGCTATGAGATTCTTTAGAGTTCTTAGCTCTCTTAAATCTCAAGCCCAAGTTCAATCTTTTAGGTTTGCCTTTTCATGTATAAAGTAGGGGTGTTTTATATATTTTTAGAGTTGCATGCCCTATAAATATAGAGAAAACTCGATTTTACATGTCTTGATGATGTTGAAATTAAGCAATCTTTCGGAGGCTTCATCTTGTCGAGATATTCGATTTGACTATAAGCATACAAGATTTGAAGATCATTATTATTAATTAATATCATGAAATTTTTAATTATGCTTTACACGTTTGGTTTGGGTTTATTTAGATATGATTTGGACCATTTGTTTTTGTTAGGTTAGTTTCATTGAGACATTCAGTTTGATTATAAATTTGTTAAAATTGAAATTCAAATAATGCTAAATATAATTTCAAAAAGTTTCAATTCAAATAGGTACTAAAATTTATACCTTCTTTAAATTGTTTACAGTATATTCAATACAAAATGTTATATTATTTGAAATTATATTTTATTTCATTTGATGCTAATTTTAATTTACAGTATTTTTATCAATTTATTTGATTTTTATGATATTGGGGAAGTAAGGAAGTTGCCCAAATCCAATAAAATTTAAATGTTCAAATATTTACTAATAAAATATGAAGATAAAATGTAGGATATCCAACATGGGTAGATGAGATATTTTGATAAGCTCTTTAATGAAGATTAATGAAGATTATGATAATATAATTGACTTTAGTGATTGTAGTATCCTAAATGAAAATATATATTTTTATTTTTATTGTTATATTAGTGAAGTTGAAGTTAAATAGGCTTTACAAAAAATGAATTGTGAAAAAATAGTTGGACATGATGATATTCTAATAGAGGTTTGTAAATATGTTGGAGATGAAAGAATTTCTTGGCTTACTAAACTCTTTAATGTTATTTTGAATACTAAAAAGATGTCTAAACAAGTGGAGTATGTTAGTTATTATTTTTAAGAATCAAGGTGATGCACAAGAGTGCATGAATTATAGAGGAATTAAAAATGTGTCATACATTAAAATTATGAGAGAGAGAGAGTAATTGAGCATAGATTATTTGTGATACAAATATTTCTCAATATTAATTTGGATTTGTGTCGGCCTGTCGGGTAGGTATACTATGGAAGCTATACATTTGTTGAGAGGTTTGATAGAGAAGTTTTGAGAGAATAAGGATGATCTACATATGATTATTGATTTAGGAAAATATATGATGAAGTTTTAGGAGAAGTGCTCTTGAGAGTTCTAGAAAAGAAAAGAGTTAATAAGTCATTAAGGATATATATGCATGAGCTGTTACTTTTGTTCAAACATGAGGAGGCTTAACCAAGTATTTTTTTTTATTTCTATTTTCAACTTTAAGTCCATATCTTTTTGATTTAATCATGAATATTCTTACTAGACATTTGCAAGAGGATGCATCTTGGTGTATATATTTTTGTTGATAAGACTAGAGAGGGAATTGAAGGAAAACTTGAATTATGAAGGTCCACTTTAGAGTCTGATGGTTTTCGTCTGAGTAGATCTAAAATTGAATATATAGAGTATAATTTTAGTATTAATAGATTTGGTGGGGAGATTGTGACTTTGGGTGACCAAGCCATTAAAATGCGTTCATGTTTTAGATATATTAGGTTTATTGTTCAGAGTACTGATGAAATAGATGAGGATACTATTAGTAGAATTCAAGTTAGATGGTTGAATTGGAGACTTGCATCGGGCCTGCTATGTGATAGGAAAGTACTTGTCAAACTTAAGGGAAAATTCTATATGGTGGTGGTGAGACCTGTAATACTTTATGGTGCAAAATATTTTTTGTTAATAGGACATAATGGAGAAAAATAATTCATGTTGTTGATTTTATAGTGGAATAAAGGCTTGATGTTATGGTTGGTAACCATATTAGTAATTGTATATTCTTCATAAAAATAAGACTAAATCAAATTCCCTTCCTTTAATATATATTTTTCATCAATAATCTTATATTTTAAGTAATACTAAACAAAACAGTCCCAACTACGAAAAATTTCAACGAACAACATATTCTTATTAAAATTTGGTTGGATAAATTAAAAATTTTTATGAAATAAATATAATAAATGACGTCAATTAATTTATATATTATAATTTTCTCATAATAAATTTATATTTATAAATTTATTCAGATTTCTTTTGCAGGACATAATCATCTAATTATTTTCCCTTTTTATTCTTCGATTGCATTCTACACAGTCAAAGCAAGCAGATTTTTGAATTTTGAATATCATTTTTATGCACTATATGGTAAAATATTTTTAACCATGATAAATTATTATTATTAATTATATTAGTTAATGTAATATGTCTAATCATAATTAATAATCCACCGAGCAAATGAATTAAAAAAAAAATATACAGTTCTTTTCGGATAATGTTGATTTGTAGGTCAACAAGAATTGACGTATCAATTAAATTGGTTAGAACTTGATTGTTTTACCGAATTGGTCTGATTCGGGTTAGGAATCAGGTTATTTGTTGACCCACCTATTGAAATATAACAATTAACACATACAAAAGAAGTACAAGAAATATTTCATTTCAATATCATTTTTCTATGGTGATTTTCCATCAAATCTGTTCAACTACCTCCAATTTAAAAGTTTAGTGATTTGACCGTTAAATTTTGTGTTAATATCACAATTTCATGCAAATCAAATATTTTAATCAAAGACCAGTAAGGTAACA